AGATTTCTGAAAATCTCCATTTTCGTTCATACTACTTGCCACATCATGCTGTCGTAAAGCCCGATAGAACTTCAACGAAAGTAAGAGTCGTATTTAACGCATCTAAAAGAACAGACAACGGGGTTTCACTAAATGACATACTTTATACTGGTCCCACACTACAAAATGAACTCACTAACGTTGTTTTACGCTGGAGATTCTTCAAATATGTTTTCAATGGCGACATACAAAAAATGTACCGCCAAATATTTGTGCATGAGAAAGATCAACAATTTCAACGAATTCTGTTTCGGTCTTCTCCGTTAGAAAAAGTTGAAGACTACTGTTTAAAAACTGTTACTTTTGGGGTAAATTGTGCACCATACCTGGCGATACGAACTTTGCTCCAACTTAGCGATGACAATAAACACTCACATCCAACGGCATCGAACATTCTCAAGAGTCAGATTTACGTGGATGACATACTATCGGGAGCACATTCGTTAACTGAAGCAAAGTCCTATCTGCATGAGGTAATTGACTTGTTAAAATCCGCTGGATTTCCTTTGAAGAAAATTACGTCAAACCATCCTCAAATACTCCTGAATCTTCCCCCGGAGGATCTTCTTAGCGAAGATTTCTTACGATTAGAAGATGTCAGTGAAACAAAAACTTTGGGTATTCAATGGAATGCCAAATATGATTATTTCTTCTATAAGGTGACACATTTCGATTTACCCACTGTTGCCATAACAAAACGTAAAGTTTTGTCAATCGTTGCAAAATTGTTCGATCCTGCTGGTTGGTTAACACCCATAATTGTAGTCGCGAAAGTTTTAATGCAACAACTTTGGATTGATGGGACTAATTGGGATGAAGAAGTAACAACACATTCCTTCGAAAAGTGGAATGCCTTTATTTCCAAATTTGCGGACATCGAGAATATTAAAATTCCTCGTTGGGTACATTTTTCATCCGAGACTGAAATTCAAATTCACGGTTTTTGTGATGCCTCAGAGAAGGCATATTGTGCATGTTTGTATATACGTGTTAAATCCTCAAAAAATATTACTTATACCAATCTTCTTGTTTCCAAGAGCAAAGTAGCTCCATTAAAAACTGTGAGCCTACCGAGGTTAGAATTATGTGGAGCAGCGATGTTATCCAAACTTTTAAAATCTGTTTGTCAAAATTTGGAGCTTTCCTCTCCCGAAATATTCTTGTGGACTGACTCAACAATCACCCTATCGTGGATTAGCAAACCGCCTTTTTACTGGAAGACCTTTGTGGCCAATAAAGTGTCTGAAATTCTCGATAATGTGGGAAATGCAAACTGGAGACATGTTGCATCCGCTGATAATCCTGCGGATCTTGGCACTCGAGGCTGTACAGCTGAAGAACTTCAAGCATGTAGTCTTTGGTGGAATGGACCACATTGGTTAGCAAAGGAACCACAACACTGGCCAAAACCCGCCTCTCTCAAAGAACCAGAACTTGAAAAGAAGGTATTTGCCATGCACGCCCAAGTTGTTGAAGATGATCTCCTAGAAGATTTCTCATCACTCAACCGAGTCCTACGAGTCTTTGCTTATGCATTTCGCTTCATAAATGGGTGTCGCCGAAATAACCCATCTGGATTGCGGAAAAACATTTTACTTGCACATGAAATATCCTTCGTCAAATACTACCTCATACGATTGGCACAAAGGATACATTACCCATGGGAATATCAGGCACTCGTCTCAAACCAACCAATACCAACTAAGAGCAGACTATTAACCTTGAATCCTACTCTAGATGAAAATATGTTACTGAGAGTAAATGGTCGCTTGGCCAATTCTGATGCACGGTACAATGAACGACATCCGATTATCCTCCCGGAAAAGTCAAGATTTTGCAAGTTGCTGATTGAATTCACACACACTTTGCTACTTCATGCTGAACATCAGCTAATGATACGGGCAATTCGACAAGAGTTTTATATAATCCGATTGAAAAGTGCCGTTCGTTCATGCATTCATAATTGTCGAACATGTACCATCTACAAACATCACATTCAAAACCAAATTATGGCCGCCTTACCCCTTGAGCGTTGTACTTTTTCCCTCCCCTTTACCAATACAGGTCTTGATTTTGCCGGTCCTTTCGACCTCAAAACCTCACGCCTTCGAAATGCAAGACTGCACAAAGGCTATGCCGCAATTTTTGTCTGCCTGTCGACACGAGCAATTCATTTAGAAGTCTGCTCCGATTTGTCTGCTGAAGCCTTTTTGGCAACATTCAGTCGATTTGTTGGCCGACGAGGCCTTCCTAAACAAATATTTTCAGACAATGGAACCAACTTTGTTGGTGCCAGTCGTTCGTTAGCTAAAGACTATAAGACTTTTCTACGCTCCGCTGAAGAACATTTAGTCTCAAAATACAACATCCATGGTTTCACTTGGCACTTTATACCGCCTCACGCCCCACATATGGGTGGCTTATGGGAAGCTGCCGTTAAAAGTATGAAAGCCCATTTAAAGAAGGTAGCGGGAAAACTGAAATATACATATGAAGAGTTTTCCACATTACTAATCAGAATTGAGAGTATTCTAAATTCTCGACCATTGTCACCGTTGAATGAAGAGCCTAGCGAGTTAGTACCGCTGACTCCTGGCCACCTACTTAGAGGAGCTCCTCTTATTGCGACTCCTGAACCATCCTCTGATAATTTATCTCTGATGAATCGATGGCAACGATTAAAAACTCTCCAATCACACTTTGCCAAACGCTGGAAGAACGAGTATATAACAAATCTTCAACGTAGATACAAATGGAAACGAACGCAACGAGATCTTGCCCCAGATAATTTCGTCGTCATCAAAGAAGATAATCTTCCCCCGACGGAATGGCGACTTGGACGCGTGGTTAGAGTGTTTGCCGGAAAAGATTCAAGGGTTCGTGTAGCAGAAATTCGCACGCAAAACGGGATCATAGTACGCCCACTTGTAAAATTATGCATTCTCCCCAATTGTTAACTTTTCCCCCTTGCTCACAAATTTAATAACCTTTTACATTTCAGTAACGTTTCTAGCTTGCCCAAATGCCGTATCTGCCACGAGAGGCACTTTATAAAATCATGCCTTACTTTCCAAAATATGAGCGTTACAAAACGTCGACATGAGGCACGTCAAAAAGGTTTTTGCTTCAATTGTCTGTGTACGGCTCATACCCGCGAATGGTGCCCAAGCCGTAAAACTTGCATGGTATGTCATAAGGGTCATCATACCTTGCTACACATCGATGCTAAACCCAACAATCATTCCTCCTCCAAATCGACCCCAAAAAACCGCTCATCATCACGAAGTTGCAGCCTTGAACCTCCAACCGCCAAAAACCAACAAAGTCGTCCAGCGAAACAACAAAACCGTCCATCAGCCCACACATCAAAACGATCTACTTCAACATCAACGCAACGCCGTCACTCCAACGTTAGTGACAGACTAAGTTCTCGAACCAAATCGCATGTGTTTTTACCCACAGCTCTTGCAAAGGTGATTACTGTAGAAGGTTGCGACAAAGTCCGATTGCTGATGAACTCAGGATCAACGCAAACTGCAATTTCAACCAAATTGGTGGAGCGACTTCAGTTACCACTTACACAGAGGGCTGGAAAGACCTTTACTGCCATAAACTTGCAATCTTTCCATGACGAGTCCGTTAAAATACACATCACTGGCGAAGTCCAAAATCCATTGCACATTAGCACCCCGGAATCGACGAAAGATAAAAAGCACCTATCAATATACAACCACCTAACGGATCTGGCAGATCCACATTTCTTTAACCCTATCAATATAGAAATCATGATAGCAAACGATCAAATTCCAAAAATTCTAAGAGCCGGCCTAATTCAAACCACAACCAACATGCCAATTGCCCAAAGTTCAGCCTTCGGTTGGATCATATCCGGAAGCTGCCAAGTTTGAAGTTGCAGTCCAGCAAAAGGGGGCGGTATGTTGAACCGCGTTCAACAACGTAGTATTAAGTATAATGAACTCCAAGCAAATCGTTTAAATATCTTGAATTATAATTGCATTTAAAATAGCTTAAGTATAAATCACATTGAATTCAAATCTAAACGTAAGATAACCGTCAAAATATGGCAACCTTAAAATCCTTTAAGTTTTCACTCAATGGTTCAGGCTACCATTTCTTGTATTCAATACCTTTTGTTACATATTTATAAAATGTCTGATGCACAATCTGCACAGCCATTTTTCTATTACTTGGATTAAAGCAGTCAAACCGTTCAGAACAAGAATAAAATTCTATTTGCTCCACCGCTTAAAAAATCAATTGCTTTTTCTTTTCTAAATATCAATTACAATCACAAGAGTTACCACCGCAAATATTTACACCGCTACAGTCCATTCTCCACGGCCAACTCCCGCGATTGTACAAGCTCCAAAAAATATTTTTAAATAATCCACGTTCCCTTGAGAAGCTCCAAAAAATATTTTTATCCACACTCCTTTAATAGCATTCAAAAGATATTTTTAAAAAATCCGGGAACCATTTATGAGCTTCAAAAAATATTTTAAAAAATACACGTTCCTTTGAGGACCTTTAAAAAATATTTTAAAAAATCCACGTTCCTTTGAAAAATATTTTAAAAAATCCACGTTCCTTTGAAAAATATTTTTAAAAAACCCACGTTCCTTTGAGGGCCTTTAAAAAATATTTTTAAAAATGTACGTTCCTCTGAGGGCCTTTAAAAAATATTTTAAAAAAATCCACGTTCCTCTGAGGTCCTTTAAAAAATATTTTTAAAAAACCCACGTTCCTTTGAGGGCCTTTAAAAAATATTTTTAAAAATGTACGTTCCTCTGAGGGCCTTTAAAAAATATTTTTAAAAAATCCACGTTCCTCTGAAGTCCTTTAAAAAATATTTTTAAAAAATCCACGTTCGTTTGAGGATCTTTAAAAAATATTTTTAAAGAATCCACGTCCTTGGCATAAATTATATTTTCGATACTCACTGACAATATGCATTAAACAGCTCCCGATCTAAACGCTCCATCGGACATATGGTCAAGCTCGGCAACGATGTATTCCAGCTGAAATAGTCACGTTCAATGCCCATGTAGGCATTTTTAGTCAAGAACCTATCAATCGATTGCATGGCAATATAAATCGAGGCATAATGCGATATGGCAATGAGAATAAACCAGAAAATCCTTTCGAGCCATGTCAGGCCATTCTTAACCAAATACACATAACAATGGTTACAGCAAGTGGCCAAATATAGCTTAAAATAATCAAAGCCATCTACGATGAGACTGCATGCAGTTATCCTGCGAGAATTCTTTTTCCCTTGGTCCGTCCAGGCTTCTCCTCCTCCAGCTGGGGGTTTTGGTGGGCTGCTCATTTTATTCGAAAAGAATTCTTGAAAATAGATTCAATTTGTTACGACTTTAAAGTGCTACTGTGGTCTTCGTTTGAAATGAGGGTCCTTTTGTTTGCAAGACAAACAAGTCTGTGCATGTTTGAGTAGTTTTTAATTAATTCGACATCGTTGTTACACTTGAAATGCATTATATCCTTTTTAGTTATGAAAACAAACGATTTTGACTGACATGCAATTTTATGCGTTTTAGAGAAGCAGAGATGGGAGTACAAATAAGTTTGAACACAAATTATTAAAAAATCGAATTTCTTTTTTTTTAATCCAAAACAATTTTTTTTAATCCAAACTCCATTTAGGATCTTTAACAAATATGTTTTTTTTTTAAATCCACGTTCTTTGGAGGACCTTTCAAAACATTTTTTTTTAAATCAACGTTTTTTTAAGGACGTTTAAAGATTATTTTTAAAAATCCTCGTTCCTTTGAGGACCTTTAAAAAATATTTTTAAAAATCCTCGTTCCTTTGAGGACCTTTAAAAAATATTTTTAAAAAATCCACGTTCCTTTGTTGGTCTTCAAAAAATATTTTTAAAAAATCCACGTTCCTTTGTTGGTCTTCAAAAAATATTTTTAAAAAATCCACGTTCCTTTGTTGGTTTTCAAAAAATATTTTTAAAAAATCCACGTTCCTTTGTTGGTCTTCAAAAAATATTTTTAAAAAATCCACATTCCTTTGTTGGTCTTCAAAAAATATTTTTAAAAAATCCACGTTCCTTTGAGGACCTTTAAAGAATATTTTTAAAAAGATCCACGTTCCTTTTAGGGCCTTTAAAAAATATTTTTAAAAAATCCACGTTCCTCTTATGGCCTTTAAAAAATATTTTTAAAAAATCCACGTTCCTTTCAAGGCCTTCAAAAAATATTTTTAAAAAATCCTCATTCCTTTGTTGGTCTTCAAAAAATATTTTTAAAAAATCCACATTCCTTTGTCGGTCTTCAAAAAATATTTTTAAAAAATCCACGTTCCTTTGAGGACCTTTAAAGAATATTTTTAAAAAGATCCACGTTCCTTTTAGGGCCTTTAAAAAATATTTTTAAAAAATCCACGTTCCTTTCATGGCCTTCAAAAAATATTTTTAAAAAATCCAAATTTCTTTGACGACCTTTAAAAAATCCATTATTCTTTCAGGGCCTTAGTAAAATATTTAAAAAAATCACTTTACTTTTATGGCCTTCCAAAAATATTTTTTAAAAAATCCACGTTCCTTTTATGGCCTTTAAAATATATTTTTAAAATATCGACGTTCCTCTTATGGCCTTTAAAAAATATTTTTAAAAAATCCACGTTCCTTTTATGGCCTTTAAAAAATATTTTTAAAAAATCCACGTTCCTCTTATGGCCTTTAAAAAATATTTTTAAAATATCAACGTTCCTCTTATGGCCTTTAAAAAATATTTTTAAAAAATCCACGTCCCTTTTATGGTCTTTAAAAAAATATTTTTAAAAAATCCACGTTCCTCTTATGGCCTTTAAAAAATATTTTTAAAATATCAACGTTCCTCTTATGGCCTTTAAAAAATATTTTTAAAAAATCCACGTTCCTCTTATGGCCTTTAAAAAATATTTTTAAAAAATCCACGTCCCTTTTATGGTCTTTAAAAAAATATTTTTAATAAATCCACGTTCTTTTTAAAGCTTTAAAAAATAATTTTAAAAAATCCACGTTCCTTTGACGAATTTAAAAAAAAAATAAATAAATCCACATTCCTTTTAAAGCTTTAAAAAATATTTTTAAAAAATCTACGTTCCTTTGACGAATTTAAAAAGAATATTTTTAAAAAATCCACGTTCCTTTGAGGACCTTTAAAAAATATTTTTAAAAAATCCACGTTCCTTTGAGGAGCTTTAAAAAATATTTTTAAAAAATCCACGTTCCTTTGAGGAGCTTTAAAAAATATTTTTAAAAAATCCACGTTCCTTTGAGGAGCTTTAAAAAATATTTTTAAAAAATCCACGTTCCTTTGAGGAGCTTTAAAAAATATTTTTAAAAAATCCACGTTCCTTTGAGGAGCTTTAAAAAATATTTTTAAAAAATCCACGTTCCTTTGAGGACCTTTAAAAAATATTTTTAAAAAATCCACGTTCCTTTGAGGACCTTTAAAAAATATTTTTAAAAAATCCACGTTCCTTTGAGGACCATTAAAAAATATTTTTAAAAAATCCACGTTCCTTTGAGGACCTTTAAAAAATATTTTTAAAAAATCCACGTTCCTTTGAGGACCTTTAAAAAATATTTTTAAAAAATCCACGTTCCTTTGAGGACCTTTAAAAAATATTTTTAAAAAATCCACGTTCCTTTGAGGACCTTTAAAAAATATTTTTAAAAAATCCACGTTCCTTTGAGGACCTTTAAAAAATATTTTTAAAAAATCCACGTTCCTTTGAGGACCTTTAAAAAATATTTTTAAAAAATCCACGTTCCTTTGAGGACCTTTAAAAAATATTTTAAAAAATCCACGTTCCTTTGAGGACCTTTAAAAAATATTTATAAAAAATCCACGTTCCTTTGAGGACCTTTAAAAAATATTTTTAAAAAATCCACGTTCCTTTGAGGACCTTTAAAAAATATTTTTAAAAAATCCACGTTCCTTTGAGGACCTTTAAAAAATATTTTTAAAAAATCCACGTTCCTTTGAGGACCTTTAAAAAATATTTTTAAAAAATCCACGTTCCTTTGAGGACCTTTAAAAAATATTTTTAAAAAATCCACGTTCCTTTGAGGACCTTTAAAAAATATTTTTAAAAAATCCACGTTCCTTTGAGGACCTTTAAAAAATATTTTTAAAAAATCCATGTTCCTTTGAGGTTCTTCAAAAAATATTTTTAAAAAATCCACGTACCTTTGAGGTTCTTCAAAAAATATTTTTAAAAAATCCACGTTCCTTTGAGGTTCTTCAAAAAGTATTTTTAAAAAATCCACGTTCCTTTGAGGTTCTTCAAAAAATATTTTTAAAAAATCCACGTTCCTTTGAGGTTCTTCAAAAAGTATTTTTAAAAAATCCACGTTTCTTTGAGGTTCTTCAAAAAATATTTTTAATAAATCCACGTTCCTTTGAGGACCTTTAAAAAATATTTTTAAAAAATCCACGATGCTTTGACGACCTTAAAAAATATTTTTAAAAAATCCACGTTCTTTTGAGGTTCTTCAAAAAATATTTTTAAAAAATCCACGTTCCTTTGACGACCAATAACAAATATTTTTAAAAATCCACGTTCCTTTGAAGTCCTTTAAAAAAATCCATGATCCTTTCAGGACCTTAGAAAAATATTTACAAAAATCACTTTCCTGCTATGGCCATCCAAAATATTTTTTAAAAATTTCACGTTCCTTTGAGGCCGTAAAAAATATTTTTAAAAAAATCCACGTTCTTTTGAAATTGGTTTCGTTATTTTAAATTGATTTCCTCTGATAGTCCTTGTTGAAATAAAAGATTTGTTTTTATATTCCATGTTATTGATTGCATTTTGACCATCAATAGACTCGCCTTTGGCCTCAACCAAAGTTCTAGCTGACCCGCTAACCATTGCTCTTCATTTGGTGCCCTTGACCTTGGGACTATTGCGATTTATGTTTAAAGAGGCGACCTTTAAAGGTAAACAAACTTTTGTATTCCTCCTTTGACTGAATTTCTAATTAGTTAAACTTGAAAAGTTTGAAACTAACTAACTGCCATGGAAGTCAAACAAGCGGCAGTATTTAAGCAAGTAACCCACAAGGGAATCCTGACAGTAATTCTTAAAATTTTATTCGGGCACCTAACGGCGGAAAAAATACCATCTAAGTAAAATGGCCTTTTGGGCAACAGTGGCCAGTCGCGAGGTAGCATCACCCCGAGTAATGCCCGCATTGACTCCCAGTCAAAAGCAGTTTCTTCACGACGAACTGAGATATCGGGAAAAATTAAATTTTCTCGCCGACAATGATGACGTCAATCTCTCCGACTATTATGTGCCCAAGGAGGAGACCGTCGACGATCCGGAGCTGTTGGATAAACATGATTCCTTCTATCACACCACGAAGAGTCTTTTGGTGTTGTTTCAAATCATGGGTGTTATGCCGATACATCGGAACCCACCCAAGCCGAATTTGCCACGCACCGGCTATTCATGGACTTCGAAACAGGTGTTGTGGGCCATGTTTGTCTATGTCATTCAGACAACGGTGGTCATCTTTGTCCTGCAGGAGAGGGTGAATAAATTCGTTACCAATTCAGAGACCCGCTTCGATGAGGCCATCTACAATGTCATTTTCATTAGTTTGTTATTTACGAATTTCCTCCTTCCGGTGGCCAGTTGGCGGCATGGACCACAGGTTGCGATTTTCAAAAATATGTGGACCAATTATCAGTTGAAATTTCTGAAAGTCACCGGAACGCCAATAGTTTTTCCCAATCTATATCCCCTGACCTGGGGTCTGTGCATCTTCTCCTGGACCCTAAGTATTTTGATAAATTTGTCGCAGTATTTCCTGCAGCCAGATTTTGAATTTTGGTATACCTTTGCCTATTATCCGTTGATTGCAATGCTGAATTGTTTTTGTAGTTTGTGGTGAGTAATATTCGAAGAGTAAAAGAGGATATTTTCAGGGACCTTTTTTAAAATAACTACCCAAGAAAAATCCGTGGAACTCATAAATAAATGTTTATCCAGAAAAATAGGCGTGGATTCATTTGAAAATATATTTTCAAAACATTTTTTAAGAAAAATAGGCGTTGATATTTTTGAAAAATATTTTATCAAAAATATTTTTTAAGAAAAATAGTCTTTGATATTTTTTAAATTTTTTTAAGAAAAATAGGCGTGGATATTTTTAAAAAAATATTTTTTCAAAAATGTTTATTTAAGAAAAAAAGGCGTGAATTTATTTAAAAATATTTTTTTTAAAAGAAAAATAGGCGTGGATTTATTTAAAAATATTTTTTTTTTAAAGAAAAATAGGCGTGGATTTATTTAAAAATATTTTTTTAAAAGAAAAATAGGCGTGGATTTATTTAAAAATATTTTTTTTTAAAGAAAAATAGGCGTGGATTTATTTAAAAATACTTTTTTAAAAGAAAAATAGGCGTGGATTCATTTAAAAATATTTTTTTTTAAAGAAAAATAGGCGTGGATTTATTTAAAAATATTTTTTTTAAAGAAAAATAGACGTGGATTTATTTAAAAATATTTTCTTAAAAGAAAAATAGGCGTGGATTTATTTAAAAATATTTTTTCAAGACAGAATATGAGTGGATTTATTAAAAAAAATATTTTTTTAAAAGAAAAATAGGCGAGGATTAATTTAAAAATATTTTTTTAAAAGAAAAATAGGCGTGGATTTATTTAAAAATATTTTTTCAAGACAAAATATGAGTGGATTTATTAAAAAAAAATATTTTTTAAAAGAAAAATAGGCGAGGATTAATTTAAAAATATTTTTTTAAAAGAAAAATAGGCGTGGATTTATTTAAAAATATTTTTTTTTAAAGAAAAATAGGCGTGGATTTATTTAAAAATATTTTTTTAAAAGAAAAATAGGCGTGGATTTATTTAAAAATATTTTTTTTAAAGAAAAATAGGCGTGGATTTATTTAAAAATATTTTTTTAAAAGAAAAATAGGCGTGGATTTGTTTGAAAATATTTTTTTTTAAATAAAAATAGGCGTGGATTTATTTAAAAATGTTTTTTTAAAGAAAAATAGGCGTGGATTTATTTAATTTTTTTTTTAAAGAAAAATAGGCGTGGATATTTTTTAAAAATATTTTTTTAAAAGAAAAATAGGCGTGGATATTTTTTAAAAATATTTTTTTAAAAGAAAAATAGGCGTGGATATTTTTTAAAAATATTTTTTTAAAAGAAAAATGGGCGTGGATTTATTGAAAAATATTTTTTTAAATGAAAAATAGGCGTGGATTTATTTAAAAATATTTTTTTAAAAGAAAAATAGGCGGGAATTTATTTAAAATATTTTTTAAAGAAAAATAGGCGGGAATTTATTTAAAATATTTTTTAAAGAAAAATAGGCGTGGATTTATTTAAAAATATTTTTTTAAAAGAAAAATAGGCGTGGATTTATTTAAAAATATTTTTTTAAAAGAAAAATAGGCGGGAATTTATTTAAAATATTTTTTAAAGAAAAATAGGCGTGGAGTTATTTAAAAATATTTTTTTTTTAAGAAAAAATAGGCGTGGAGTTATTTAAAAATATATTTTTTAAGAAAAAATAGGCGTGGAGTTATTTAAAAATATTTTTTTTAAGAAAAAATAGGCGTGGAGTTATTTAAAAATATTTTTTTTTATTTGTTTCAGGTACATAAACTGCAATGCCTTTGGCACCGCCAGTCGTGCCCTCTCCGAGTCCCTGCAGAAAACCCTAAGAAGTGAAAAACCGGCCCAAAAACTCACCGAATATCGTTATCTATGGGTGGACTTGAGTCACATGATGCAGCAATTGGGTAACACTTTCAAGAGGAGAAACATATCCTCAATTTATAAAAAAAAAATTATCTCCTTCCAGGTCGTGCCTATTCCAACATGTATGGCATGTATTGCCTGGTAGTGTTCTTCACCACCATCATTGCCACCTACGGGTCGTTGAGTGAAATTATCGACCATGGTGCCACCTACAAAGAGGTGGGCCTCTTTGTCATTGTTTTCTATTGCATGAGTCTGCTGTACATTATCTGCAATGAGGCCCATTATGCCTCCCAGAGAGTGGGCTTGGATTTTCAGACTCAACTACTGAATGTAAATCTAACGGCTGTGGATTCGGCCACCCAAAAAGAGGTGGAAATGTTTTTGGTGGCCATATCGAAAAATCCGCCCATCATGAATTTGGATGGCTATGCCAATATCAATAGGGAGCTGATAACGTCGGTAAGCTAGGGAGTGGGAATCGGAAATAGTTTTGTTTTAAATTTAATTTTTTTGATTTTTTCAGAATGTATCCTTTATGGCAACATATCTAGTGGTGCTGCTGCAATTCAAAATTACTGAACAAAGGGGCCTGCGCTCTCAGCAGGCCATTGCCATGGATCCTTGAAGATGAATGGCCATTATTTTTTATTTTTATTATTTTCCGCAATAATAGACAAGATACAAATATAAGCAAAAAATATAAAAAATTAAATTTTTTAAAGAATATTTTTTCAAGGGCCATCCCAGGCGTGGATTTTTTAAAGAATATTTTTTCAAGGGCCATCCCAGGCGTGGATTTTTTAAAGAATATTTTTTCAAGGGCCATCCCAGGCGTGGATTTTTTAAAGAATATTTTTTCAAGGGCCATCCCAGGCGTGGATTTTTTAAAGAATATTTTTTCAAGGGCCATCCCAGGCGTGGATTTTTTAAAGAATATTTTTTCAAGGGCCATCCCAGGCGTGGATTTTTTAAAGAATATTTTTTCAAGGGCCATCCCAGGCGTGGATTTTTTAAAGAATATTTTTTCAAGGGCCATCCCAGGCGTGGATTTTTTAAAGAATATTTTTTCAAGGGCCATCCCAGGCGTGGATTTTTTAAAGAATATTTTTTCAAGGGCCATCCCAGGCGTGGATTTTTTAAAGAATATTTTTTCAAGGGCCATCCCAGGCGTGGATTTTTTAAAGAATATTTTTTCAAGGGCCATCCCAGGCGTGGATTTTTTAAAGAATATTTTTTCAAGGGCCATCCCAGGCGTGGATTTTTTAAAGAATATTTTTTCAAGGGCCATCCCAGGCGTGGATTTTTTAAAGAATATTTTTTCAAGGGCCATCCCAGGCGTGGTTTTTTTAAAGAATATTTTTTCAAGGGCCATCCCAGGCGTGGATTTTTTAAAGAATATTTTTTCAAGGGCCATCCCAGGCGTGGATTTTTTAAAGAATATTTTTTCAAGGGCCATCCCAGGCGTAGATTTTTTAAAGAATATTTTTTCAAGGGCCATCCCAGGCGTAGATTTTTTAAAGAATATTTTTTCAAGGGCCATCCATCCAAACAGGCGTGGATTTTTTAAAGAATATTTTTTCAAGGGCCATCCCAGGCGTAGATTTTTTAAAGAATATTTTTTCAAGGGCCATCCCAGGCGTAGATTTTTTAAAGAATATTTTTTCAAGGGCCATCCATCCAAACAGGCGTGGATTTTTTAAAGAATATTTTTTCAAGGGCCATCCATCCAAACAGGCGTGGATTTTTTAAAGAATATTTTTTCAAGGGCCATCCCAGGCGTGGATTTTTTAAAGAATATTTTTTCAAGGGCCATCCCAGGCGTGGATTTTTTAAAGAATATTTTTTCAAGGGCCATCCCAGGCGTGGATTTTTTAAAGAATATTTTTTCAAGGGCCATCCATCCAAACAGGCGTGGATTTTTTAAAGAATATTTTTTCAAGGGCCATCCCAGGCGTGGATTTTTTAAAGAATATTTTTTCAAGGGCCATCCATCCAAACAGGCGTGGATTTTTTAAAGAATATTTTTTCAAGGGCCATCCATCCAAACAGGCGTGGATTTTTTAAAGAATATTTTTTCAAGGGCCATCCATCCAAACAGGCGTGGATTTTTTAAAGAATATTTTTTCAAGGCCCATCCATCCAAATAGGCGTGAATTTTTTAAAGAATATTTTTTCAAGGGCCATCCCAGGCGTGGATTTTTTAAAGAATATTTTTTCAAGGGCCATCCCAGGCGTGGATTTTTTAAAGAATATTTTTTCAAGGGCCATCCCAGGCGTGGATTTTTTAAATTATATTTTTTCAAGGGCCATCCCAGGCGTGGATTTTTTAAAGAATATTTTTTCAAGGGCCATCCCAGGCGTGGATTTTTTAAAGAATATTTTTTCAAGGGCCATCCCAGGCGTGGATTTTTTAAAGAATATTTTTTCAAGGGCCATCCCAGGCGTGGATTTTTTAAAGAATATTTTTTCAAGGGCCATCCCAGGCGTGGATTTTTTAAAGAATATTTTTTCAAGGGCCATCCCAGGCGTGGATTTTTTAAAGAATATTTTTTCAAGGGCCATCCCAGGCGTGGATTTTTTAAATTATATTTTTTCAAGGGCCATCCCAGGCGTGGATTTTTTAAAGAATATTTTTTCAAGGGCCATCCCAGGCGTGGATTTTTTAAAGAATATTTTTTCAAGGGCCATCCCAGGCGTGGATTTTTTAAAGAATATTTTTTCAAGGGCCATCCCAGGCGTGGATTTTTTAAAGAATATTTTTTCAAGCGCCAGACCGATGTGGATTTTTTTAAGAATATTTTTTCAAAGGCCAAGTCGGCGTGGATTTTTTAAAGAATTTTTTTTTCAAAGGCCAGGTCGGCGTGGATTTTTTAAAGATTTTTTTTTTCAAAGGCCAGGTCGGCGTGGATTTTTTAAAGAATTTTTTTTTTTTCAAGGCCGAGACGTGGATTTTTTAAAGAATTTTTTTTTTCAAGGCCCAGACGTGGATTTTTTAAAGAATTTTTTTCAAGGGCCAGACAGGGGTGGGTTTTTAAAGAAATTTTTTCAAGGGCCAGACGGGGGTGGGTTTTTAAAGAAATTTTTTCAAGGGACAGACAGGGGTGGGTTTTTAAAGAATTGTTTTTCAAGGGCCAGACAGGGGTGGGTTTTTAAAGAATTTTTCTTCAAGGCCCTGACGTGAATTTTTTAAAGAATTTTTTTCAAGGGCCAGACAGGGGTGGGTTTTTAAAGAATTTTTTTCAAGGGCCAGATAGGGTTGGATTTTTTAAAGAATTTTTTTCCAAGGCGTGGATTTTTAAAGAATATTTTTTCAAGGGCCATCCATCCAAACAGGCGCGGTTTTTTTTATACCCTCCACCTTGGAAAGGAGGGTATATTAACTTTGTCATTCCGTTTGGAACATCCTTAAATATTCGTCATAGGCCCCATAATATATATATATATATATATATATATATATATATATATATATATATATATATATATATATATATATATATATATATATATATATATATATATATATATATATATATATATATATATATATATATATATATATATATATATATATATATATATATATATATATATATATATATATATATATATATATATATATATTTATAATTAGCATAAAAATCTAAGTCGATTTAACGATGTCCGTCTGTCTGTCTGTCTGTTGAAATCACGATACAGCCCACATTATTTGACGTAGAGTGCCAAAATTTAGCAGAGCAATTTGCATTGTGTCTAGGATGGTTGGAATTGAAAATGAGATATATCGGTCCACGTTCTGGTATAGTCTCCATATAACGGTACCTCCCGATATTCGGTATTTTGATGATTTATGCCCCATTTTTCACGGATTGGTATTTGTAGGTCGTAACGGGTCCCTGAGCGTGTGGCAAAACATTGCATGTATAGGTCCACGTTGTGGTATAGCACCCACAGTACCTCCCGATATTCGGTATTTTGATGGTTTTTGCCACATTTTTTCACTGATTTGTCTAAAAATTGGTATTTGTGGGTCATAATGGGTCCTAGTTCGAGTGGCAAAGCATTGTAATTATGGGTCCACATTTTGGTGTAGCCCCCATATAACGGTCCCTCCCGATATTCGGCATTGTAATGGTTTTTGCCACATTTCTTCTAATGTTTCTTTTACTCTAAGGTGGAGGGTATTAAAAGTTTGGCCCGGCCGAAGGCGTAGATTTTTTAAAGAATATTTTTTCAAGGGCCATCCATCCACATCAATTACCATTTTCTCATAACATACTGAGAGGCATCTATTGAGAGAGAATGTAACCAAATATTTTGTACAGTACCCGTGGCAAACATGTATTAAATGGTGAGTGTCTTTACTGCATTTCAGTACTCATTTTTGTGGCATGTAGATGGCGCTGGCTATAATTTGTACAATTTATTGTTTTCAACGAGAAAATCTAATTTGTTTTTTACATTTTAAAATCAGACCTGCGGATTTCTGAAGCTTTTTTTATTTCGGTTTTTTTTAAATTGAGTAAGTAAATCTAAGCAATAAAATAGTATATTTTATTCTGGTTTTTGTGATCTTTTTCTTTGCCATGATTTTCCAGTTCCAATTGGTAATTACGATATTGCCGCCTGCTGTGTACGCAGTCCCCTTTGTTCAGTGATTTTAAACTGCAACAAGACCACTAAATATGTGGCCATAACAGAGACATTCTGGAAACAAGAAGAAGGAAATGTATTAAAAAAATAATAATAATTATTTTTATCAAATTTAAATAGTAAGATTGAAATATTCAAAGAAAAAAAATATTTTTTTAAACCTAAGTTTCCTTTTTTACAATATTCCACGTTTCCTTCGTTGGCAAAAAATATATATTGTTTTTACAAAATTCCACATTTTCTTTGTTGACAAAAAAATATTTTTTAAATCCACGTTTCTCTTTTTGGTAAAAAATATATTTTTTTTTACAAAATTCCACATTTTCTTTGTTGACAAAAAATATTTTTTTTAAATCCACGTTTCTCTTTTTGGTAAAAAATATATTTTTTTAAAACCAACTCTCCTTTTTTGGCAAAAAATATTTTTTTTTTAAAAATCCACGTTTCTCTTTTTGGTAAAAAATATTTTTTTTTTTAAACCAACTCTCCTTTTTTGGCAAAAAATATATTTTTTAAAAATCCACGTTTCTCTTTTTGGTAAAAAATATTTTTTTTTTAAACCAACTCTCCTTTTTTGGCAAAAAATATTTTTTTTTTAAATCCCCGTTTTTCTTTTTGGTAAAAAATATTTTTTTTTTAAAACCAACTCTCATTTTTGGCAAATTTTTTTTTTTTTTTTTAAAAATCCACGTTTCTCTTTTTGGTAAAAAATATTTTTTTTTTTTAAATCCCCGTTTTTCTTTTTGGTAAAAAATATTTTTTTTTTAAAACCAACTCTCTTTTTTGGCAAAAAAATTTTTTTTTTAAAAATCCACGTTTCTCTTTTTGGTAAAAAATATTTTTTTTATACCAACTTTCCTTTTTTGGCAAAAAATATTTTTTTTAAAAAATCCACGTTTCCTTAGTGGGCAAAAAAAAAATATTTTATTAAAAAATCCATGATTCCTTTTTTGGCAAAATAATATATATATATATATATATATATATATATATATATATATATATATATATATATATATATATATATATATATATATATATATATATATATATATATATATATATATATATATATATATATATTTAAATCCACATTTCCTTTTTGTGCAAAATATATTTTTTTACAATATTCCACGTTTCCTTTGTTGGCAAAAAATATTTTTTTAAAAAATCCACGTTTCCTTAATTGGCAAAAAATATTTTTTTAAAAAATCCATGCTTCCTTTGTTGGCAAAAAAAAATTCCGTTTTTCCTTTCTTGTCAGAAAAAATGTTTTAAAAAAATCCATGTTTCCTTTGTTGGCAAAAAAAAAACCAGCTTTTTTAAAAAAACTTTCCCATTGTTGGCAAAAATATTTTTTTTATAAATCCACGCTTTCTTTGTTGGCAAAAAATATTTTTAAAAATCCACGTTTCCTTTTTTGGCAAAAAAAAAATTTAAAAATCCACGTTTATGTTGCTACTTAATTTTTTGATAAAAAATTCATATTTCTTTGGTTTTTAGTAAAATGCTTATTTTTTAAATCCAACATGCTTACAAGTCCCAACCATGAGGACAATTTTTACACTTGGGCGCCACCAATGTGAAAAACATTTTTCGGTAAGGTATAAGAAATGGTTGCCCACATATTTGCGAAGAACTTAACGATTTCGAAACCTCAAAAATCCCCATTACTAATAAAATTAGAAAAAAAAATTATTTAAAAAATCCTGTTTCTTACCGATGTTATCAGCTCCCGATTAATGGTCGCATAGCCATCCAAATTCATGGTCGGCGGATTTTTGGCAATTGCCACCAGAAACATTTCAACCTCCCTCTGAGTGGCTGTATCCACGGCCGTCAAATTGATGTTCAGCAGCTGTGTCTGAAAATCAAAACCCACCTTCTGAGAGGCATGATGGGCCTCATTACATATAATATATAGCAGGCTCATGCAATAGAAAACAATGACAAAGAGACCAACCTCCTTGTAGGTGGCTCCATGGTCTAGAATCTCACTAAACGAGCCATAGGTGGCAATGATGGTGGTGAAGAAGACCACAAGGCAATACATGCCGTACATGTTGGAGTAGGCACGACCTGGAAAGGGAGGAAAATTTTGAAATATTTTTAAATTTTTCTATCTTCTCCTCTCTCTCTCTCTCTCTCTCTCTCTCTCTCTCTCCTTACCCAACTGCTGCATCATGTGACTGAGATCCACCCAGAGATATCTATATTCGCTTAATTTCTCTGCCGGTTTTTCACCCCTCAGCGTTTTGCGCAGCGATTCCGATAGGGCCTTGCTGGCTATGCCAAAGGCCGTGCAATTTATGTACCTTAAAAAAACGAGGAAATTTTGAAAATGTTCGTAGAAAATGAAATTTTTCCAAGAAAATTAAAATGAAAATTGAAATTTTCCAGGAAAATAAAATTTTCCAAGAAAATAAAATTTCCAAAAAATTTAAATTTTTCAGGACAATGAAATTTTTTAAAAAAATGAACTTTTTGAAAAAAAATTAAATTTTTGAAAAAACAATAAATTTTTGAAAAAAAATGAAATTTTTGAAAAAAATTGAAATTTTCAAAAGAAAATTAAATTTATAAAAAAAAAATTAAATTTAAAAAATGAAATTTTTTTAAAAAAATAAATTTAAAAAAAAAATTTGAAACAAATGAAATTTTTGAAGAAATTGAAATGAAATTTTTCCAAGAAAATAAAATTGAAAATTGAAATTTTCCAGGAACATGAAATTTTCCAAGAAAATAAAATTTCCAAAAAATTGAAATTTTTCAGGACAATGAAATTTTTTTAAAAAAGTGAACTTTTTGAAAAAAAATGAAATTTTTGAAAAAAAATTTAATTTAAAAAAAAATGAAATTTTTGAAAAAAATTTAATTTTTGAAAAAAAAAATTTAATTTTTGAAAAAAAAAAGAAATTAAATTTATGAAAAAAATTAAGTTTAAAAAAAAAATGAAATTTAAAAAAAAATAAATTTTTGAAAAAAAAAAATAAATTTTTGAAAAAAATTAAATTTTTGAAAAAATTAAATTTTTGAAAAAAATTAAATTTTTGAAAAAAATTAAATTTTTGAAAAAAATTAAATTTTTGAAGAAATTGAAATGAAATTTTTCCAAGAAAATAAAATTGAAAATTGAAATTTTCCAGAAACATAAAATTTTCCAAAAAAAAATAAAATTTCCAAAAAATTGAAATTTTCTAGGACAATGAATTTTTTTTAAAAAAGTGAAATTTTTGAAAAAAATGATATTTTTAAAAAAAGTAAATTTTTGAAAAAAAAAATGAAATTTTTAAAAAAAGTAAATTTTTGAAAAAAATTGAAATTTTTGAAAAAAATTGAAATTTTTGAAGATATTGAAATTTTCCAAGAAAATTAAATTTTCCATTTTCCCAACTCACCACAGACTACAAAAACAATTGAGCATGGCAATCAGCGGATAATAGGCAAAGGTATACCAAAATTTAAAATCTGGCTGCAAAAAATACTGCGACAAATTTATCAAAATACTCAAGACCCAGGAGAAAATGCACAGACCCCATGTCAGGGGATATAGATTCGGAAAAACAATTGGCGTTCCTGTGACCTTGAAAAATTTCAGCTGATAATTGGTCCACATATTTTTAAAAATCGCAACCTGGGGGCCATGCCTCCAACTGGCCACGGGGAGGAGGAAATTTGTAAACAACAAACTAATAAATATGACATTATAGATCGCCTGATCGAAACGTTTGTCGGGACCCTCTTTGAAGTGGATCACCCGTTCCCTCAACACCATTACCACCACACATGTCTGGACGGTGTAGACAAAGAGAGCCCAAAAGAATTGCTTTGAAATCCATGAATAACCCGTTCTTGGTATACCCTGAATCGGAGGGTTACGATGTAACGGCATGACACCCATGATTTGAAAGAGGACCAGCAAACTTTTCGTATTGTGATAGAATGAGTCATGTTTATCCAACAACTCCGGATCGTCGAACACCTCCTCCTTGCGCACATAGAAATCGGTGAGATTTGCTCCATCATTTTCGGCCAAAAATTTAATTTTATTCTGATACGTTATTTCATCCTGCAGGAATTGGCGCTGATTGGGATTTAGGACTGGTACAATTTTCGGGGTCGAGGGATTTCCACTGTTGACGGTGGCCCAAAATGCCATTGTTTTTTTTTTTCTTTTTTTTTTTGGTTTTTCAAAAAATAATTCCTTTTTCACTTTCAAACTTCTCCAAAGACACTAAATGCCCAGGCCTCCATATGCCATGCTTTTATAGCCGGGAGCGACCAAAAGCAATCATTTAAAATTCATTAATGACTTTATGGCCAAGGACTTGTGGCCTTCCAGGGGTGGCATTTTTGATGATGTTTCCTTCTCGTGTTGGCTTTTTCATTCAATTTCTCTCTCGACAAGGTTACAACTTCCCTTTGCTGTGATTAAACAGCGATATCCAAGGTCAAGGATAAGGAAAACAATGGAATTTCGAAGATAAGTAAGAAAAGTATTTACAGATTTTTTTCCAAAGGGGAATGTCCTTTTCAATGCCTTGGGGCAATGCTTGCTGAGAGGTCAGTAATAAAATAAAATAGAAAAATTTTTATTTAAAGGATATTTTCATAGACTGGAAATAAAGTCCTTTCTTAAAGTCTTCGGAAATCGGAAAAATAAAAGTCTTTGGAAAATAAAAAAATTTTAATGTTCAAAATATCAAATTCCAAGTACAATGTATGCCGAGAGGTCAGTAATACAAAAAAAATTATAGACCTGAAATAAAGTCAAGTCCTTGGAAATCGAATTCTTGAAAATAAAAGTCCTTGGCAAATAATTAAAATTTCAATGCTCAAAATTTTAAATTTCCAAGACAATGCCTGTTGAGACCTCAGTATTAAAATAGAAAAATATTATTTTAAGGACATTTGAAAACTTGAATAATGTCCCTTTTCAAGTCCTTGGAAACCGAATTTTTTAAAATTATAAGTCCTTGGCAAATAACTAAAATTTAAATGTTGAAAGTTTGAAGGACAATGCATGCCGAGAGGTCCATAAAAAAATTTAAAATTGTAATTTTAAGGACTTTTTTATTGACTGGAAATAAAGTCCTTTGTTTAATTACTGGGAAATCGAATTTTTAAAAATAAAAGTCCGTGACAAAAAATTACAATTTCATTGTCCAAATTTTCAAATGTCAAGGACAATGCATGCCGAGAGGTCAGTAATACAAACAAAAAAATATTTTAATGTAATTTTTATTGACTAGAAAAAAAGTCCTTGGAAATCGAATTCTTGAAAATAAAAGTCCTTGGCAAATACTTAAAATTTTTCTATCCCCAAAATTTCGAATTTCAAGGACAATTTTTTCAGATAGGTCAGTAATAAATTTCAAAATTTTTATTTTACGGGCATTTTTATAAACTTGATTAAAGTCCTTGAAATAGAGTCCAAGTCCTTGGAAATCAAAGCTGTAAAAATAAAAGTCTTTTAATTAAAATTTCCAAATAATTAAAATTTCAGTGTCCAAAATTTTAAATTTCAAGGACAATGCTTGATCTGTAATAAAATACAAAATTATAATTTTAAAGATATTTTTAAAAACTGGAAAGAGAATCCCTTTTCAAGTCGTTGGAAATCAAATTTTTAAAAATAAAAGTTCTTGGAAAACAATTAAAATTGCAATGTTCAAAATTTCAAGGACAATGAAAGGTGAGAAGAAGAGGATACTTATAAGAAGGAGAGGATACTTTTATATACTTGAAATAAAGTCCCCTTTTCAAGTCCTTAAAAATTAAATTTTTAAAATAAAAGTCCTTGCAAAACTCTAAAGCCTGCTGAGATGTCAGTTGAAAAATACAAAATTATTACTTCAAGGACATTTTTAAAGACTTGGCCGAATGTCCCCTTGTCCAAGTCCTTAGAAATCGAATTTTTAAAAATAAAAGCCATTGGCAAAGAGTTAAAATTCAAATGCTCAAAATTTTAAATTTCAAGGATAATGTCGGTAATAAAATACAAAATTATTATTTTGAGGATATTTTTTTAAGGATATATTTTTATAGACTTAAAATGAAGTCCCTTGTCCAAGTCCTTGGAAATCAATTTTTTAAAAGTTAAAGTCCTTGGCAAATAATTTAATTTAATTTTTATGCTGAATATTTCAAATTTCAAGGGCTTGCTGAGAGATCAGTAATAAAATATAAATTTAATATTTTAAGGATACATTAATATTTTAAGGCCTGTAAAAATGGACTTTATATTTTTCAAGTCCTTGGAAACCAGGCTTTAAAAATAAAATTCCTTGGGAAATGAATAAAATTTCAATGTTCAAAATTTCAAATTTCAAGGACTTTTCAAGTCCTTGCAAATCACATTTTTAAAAACAAAAGTTCTTGGCAAATAATTAAAATTTAAACGCTCAAAATTTCAAATTTCAAGGATAATGTCGGCAATAAAATACAAAATTATTATATAGTGGAAATCGGCTAATTTTATAGCCTTGAAATAAAGTTCCTTGTTCAAGACCTAGGAAATCATTTGTTTTTTAAATTAAATTCCTTGGCAAAGAATTAAACTTTTAATGTTTAAAATTTTAAATTTCAAGGGCTTGCTGAGAGATCAGTGATAAAATCCAAAACAACATTTTAGTTTTAAGGCAATTTTTATAGATTTTAAGTCCTGGAAATACAGACTTTTAAAAATAAAAGTCCTTGGCAAGTTATAAAAATTTCCAAATCTTTGAAAAATATTTTTTCAAAGCAAAAAAGTCCTTTCGACATCGTATATCCCCCATATAGCGGTACCTCCCTATATTTGGTATGAATGGAATTGTCTAAAAATCGATACTAGAAGTTCTTTCTAAGCACTTTACCCCTGGAAGAGAAATGTCTATAAAGGTCCACGATATCGTATAGCGGAGAAGAACATTCACGTTTCCAAAACAATATTTAAAAAAATTACGTTTCAAAAAAATGTAAAAATCCAGGTTTAAAAAAGTTTTAAAAACTTAAAAAAATCAATTTTTTAAGAATCCAGGTTAGAGAACAATATTTTTTAAACATCCACATTTGAAAAAAAGTTTTTTTTTTAAATACAGGCAAAAAATTTAAAAAAAAAATGTTAATGTGTGTGTTTTTGAAAAAAATGTGTTTTTTTTTTAATCCACGCTTGAAAAGTTAATTTTTAAAAATGCCACGTTTGAAAGAAATATTGTTCAGAAATCCGCGTTTATTTACGGTTTTTTGAATCCATTTTTTTAAATCCAAGTTTATTTACGGTTCTTGAAAAAAATATCAAAAAAGAAAAAAAAAAATATTTTTCAAAAATCCACGTTAAAAATAAAAATTATTAAAAATCCTCGTTTTAATAAAACATTTTTTTAATCCGTTTTTGTTTACGGTCAATAAATATAATATTTTTTTTAACATCCGTTATTATTTACTGCACACTACACAATTATATTTAAAAAAATATATTTTTTTAAAATCTACTCATAGCCCACGTTTATTTACGTTCAAAAAATATAAATAAATAATTTTTTGTAAATCTACTTTTACTTGAAAAAATCCACGTCTTTTTTATACCCTCCACCTTGGAAAGGAGGGTATATTAACTTTGCCATTCCGTTTGTAACATCCTTAAATATTCGTCTTAGACCCCATAAAGTATATATATTCATAATCAGCATAAAATTCTAAGTCGATTTAACGATGTCCGTCTGTCTGTCTGTTGAAATCACGATGCAGCCCACATTATTTGACGTAGAGCGCCAAAATTTAGCAGAGCTATTTGCATTGTGTCTGGGATGGTTGGTATTGAAAATGAGATATATCGGTCCACGTTCTGGTATAGTCCCCATACAACGGTACCTCCCGATATTCGGTATTTCGATGATTTATGCCACATTTTTTCACGGATTTGTCTAAAAATTGGTATTTGTTGGTCATAATGGGTTCCAGCTCCGGTGGAGAAACATTGCATGTACGGGTCCATGATTTGGTGTAGCCCCCATATAACGGTACCTCCCGATATTCGGAATTTTAATGGTTTTTGCCACATTTCTTCTAATGTTCCTTTTACCCTAAGGTGGAGGGTATTAAAAGTTTGGCCCGGCCGAACATAATGTTTTTTTACTTGTTGGTCCTTAATTTTTTCTTTTAAAAATTTACTTTTACTTATTGTCCCCGAAAAAATATTTTAAAAAATCTACGTTTATTCATAGTCCTCAAAAAATTATTCCGAAAAAGTCTACGTTTATTGATATTTCAAAAAAAAAAAATAATTTTTAAAAAATTCAAGTTTATTCATAGTCCCCGAAAAAATATTTTTAAAAAATCCACGTTTATTTATAGTCCTCGAAAAATAATTTTTAAAAAATCCACGTTTATTTATAGTCCTCGAAAAATAATTTTTAAAAAATCCACGTTTTTTACGGTCCTTAAATAAGATGTTTGTAAACAAATGCACGTTTATTCATTGTCCCCGAAAATTTTAATTTTATATTTAAAAAAAATCCAAGTTTATTTAGGGTCTTTCAAAAATTATTTTAAAAAAATCCACGTTTATTTAGGGTCTTTCAAAAATTATTTTAAAAAAATCCACGTTTATCTAGGGTCTTTCAAAAATTATTTTAAAAAAATCCACGTTTATTTAGGGTCTTTCAAAAACTATTTTAAAAAAATCCACGTTTATTTAGGGTCTTTCAAAAATTATTTTAAAAAAATCCACGATTATTTAGGGTCTTTCAAAAACTATTTTAAAAAAATCCACGTTTATTTAGGGTCTTTCAAAAATTATTTTAAAAAAATCCACGTTTATTTAGGGTCTTTCAAAAATTATTTTAAAAAAATCCACGTTTATTTAGGGTCTTTCAAAAATTATTTTAAAAAAATCCACGTTTATTTAGGGTCTTTCAAAAACTATTTTAAAAAAATCCACGTTTATTTATGGTCTTTCAAAAATTATTTAAAAAAAAATCCACTTTTATTTAGGGTCTTTCAAAAATTATTTAAAAAAAATCCACGTTTATTTAGGGTCTTTCAAAAATTATTTTAAAAAATCCACGTTTATTTAGGGTCTTTCAAAAATTATTTTAAAAAAATCCACGCTTATTTAGGTTCCTTCAAAAATTATTTAAAAAATCCACGCTTATTTAGGGTCCATCAAAAATTATTTTAAAAAAATCCACGCTTATTTAGGGTCCTTCAAAAATTATTTTAAAAAATCCACGCTTATTTAGGGTCTTTTAAAAAAAATCCACGCTTATTTAGGGTCCTTCAAAAATTATTTTAAAAAATCCACGCTTATTTAGGGTCTTTTAAAAAAATCCACGCTTATTTAGGGTCTTTCAAAAAAAAATCCACGCTTATTTAGGGTCTTTCAAAAATTATTTTTGAAAAAATCCACGCTTATTTAGGGTCTTTCAAAAATTATTTTAAAAAATCCACGCTTATTTAGGGTCTTTCAAAAATTATTTTTAAAAAATCCACGCTTATTTAGGGTCTTTCAAAAATTATTTTTGAAAAAATCCACGCTTATTTAGGGTCTTTCAAAAATTATTTTAAAAAATCCACGCTTATTTAGGGTCTTTCAAAAATTATTTTTGAAAAAATCCACGCTTATTTAGGGTCTTTCAAAAATTATTTTAAAAAATCCACGCTTATTTAGGGTCTTTCAAAAATTATTTTAAAAAATCCACGCTTATTTAGGGTCTTTCAAAAATTATTTTAAAAAAATCCACGCTTATTTAGGGTCTTTCAAAAATTATTTTAAAAAAATCCACGCTTATTTAGGGTCTTTCAAAAATTATTTTAAAAAAATCCACGCTTATTTAGGGTCTTTCAAAAATTATTTTAAAAAATCCACGCTTATTTAGGGTCTTTCAAAAATTATTTAAAAAACCACGCTTATCTAGGGTCCTTCAAAAGTTATTTTAAAAAAAAATCACGCTTATTTAGGGTCTTTAAAAAATTATTAAAAAAATCCACCCTTATTTAGGGTCTTTCAAAAATTATTTTAAAAAAATCCACGGTTATTTATAGTCCCCGAAAAATAATTTTTAAAAAATCCACGTTTATTTATAGTCCCCGAAAAATAATTTTTAAAAAATCCACGTTTATTTATAGTCCTCGAAAAATAATTTTTAAAAAATCCTCGTTTATTTATAGTCCCCGAAAAATAATTTTTAAAAAATCCAATTTTATTTATAGTCCCCGAAAAATAATTTTTAAAAAATCCACGTTTATTTATAGTCCCCGAAAAATTATTTTTAAAAAATCCACGTTTATTTATAGTCCCCGAAAAAATATTTTTAAAAACTCCACGTTTATTTATAGTCCCCGAAAAAATATTTTTAAAAAATCCACGTTTATTTATAGTCCCCGAAAAAATATTTTTAAAAAAATCTACGTTTATTTATAGTCCCCGAAAAAATATTTTTAAAATATCCACGTTTATTTATAGTCCCCGAAAAATTATTTTTAAAAAATCCACGTTTATTTATAGTCCCCGAAAAATTATTTAAAAAAATCCACGCTTATTTGGGGTCTATCAAAAATTATTTAAAAAAAAACCACGCTTATTTAGGGTCTTTAAAAAATTATTTAAAAAAAACACGCTTATCTAAGGTCCTTCAAAAGTTATTTTAAAAAGTTATTTAAAAAATTACTTAAAAAAAACACGCTTTTTTAGGGTCTTTAAAAAATTATTTTAAAAAAAACCACGCTTATCTAAGGTCCTTCAAAAGTTATTTTAAAAAAATCCACGCTTATTTAGGGTCTTTCAAAAATTATTTTAAAAAAATCCACGCTTATTTAGGGTCTTTCAAAAATTATTTAAAAAAAAATCCACGCTTATTTAGGGTCTTTCAAAAATTATTTTAAAAAAATCTACGCTTATTTAGGGTCTTTCAAAAATTATTTTAAAAAAAATCCACACTTATTTAGGGTCCTTCAAAAATTATTTTAAAAAATCCACGCTTATTTAGGGCCTTTCAAAAATTATTTAAAAAAAAATCCACGCTTATTTAGGGTCTTTCAAAAATTATTTTAAAAAATCCACGCTTATTTAGGGTCCTTCGTGTCATGTGAGCGAAAGATTATCGCTTCTTCGTTACACACACAACTATGACTGTTTATGTCAGGACCGGGCAGAGTGCTACACTTTTATGTTCTCTTAATTTTGTTGCTTTCTGGTTAGGTTCTGATTAGGTTCTGATCATGAAATTGTGTTCTCACCAAGTGCCCACGGGCGGCGTTTTAATGGACGTTGATCTAAACACATATTTGAGTCTGTAGCCTAAAAAACTATCCCGCAATCTAACAAAGACATACCACATATGCCAAAATAAAAATTTAAACTTTTAGAAGATTCGACGAACCTCACTTCCGAAACTCTTCATAAAAAACTTGTTGTCTTAAGAAATTATTTAAAAAAAAAAATCCACGCTTATTTAGGGTCCTTCAAAAGTTATTATAAAAAAATCGACGCTTATTTAGGGTCCTTCAAAAGTTATTATAAAAAAATCCACGCTTATTTAGGGACTTTCAAAAATTATTTAAAAAAAAATCCACGCTTATTTAGGGTCCTTCAAAAGTTATTATAAAAAAATCGACGCTTATTTAGGGTCCTTCAAAAGTTATTATAAAAAAATCCACGCTTATTTAGGGTCTTTCAAAAATTATTTTAAAAAAAATCCACGCTTATTTAGGGTCTTTCAAAAATTATTTTAAAAAAATCAACGCTTATTTAGGGTCTTTCAAAAATTATTTTAAAAAATCCTCGATTATTTAGGGTCTTTCAAAAATTATTTAAAAAAAATCCACGCTTATTTAGGGTCATTCAAAAATTATTTTAAAAAAAGCCACGCTTATTTAGGGTCTTTCAAAAATTATTTTAAAAAATCCACGATTATTTAGGGTCTTTCAAAAATTATTTAAAAAAAATCCACGCTTATTTAGGGTCATTCAAAAATTATTTTAAAAAAAGCCACGCTTATTTAGGGTCTTTCAAAAATTATTTAAAAAAAAATCCACGCTTATTTAGGGTCTTTCAAAAATTATTTTAAAAAAATCCACGTTTATTTAGGGTCTTTCAAAAATTATTTAAAAAAATCCACGTTTATTTAGAGTCTTTCAAAAATTATTTTAAAAAAATCCACGTTTATTTAGGGTCTTTCAAAAATTATTTTAAAAATCCACACTTAATTAGGGTCTTTCAAAAATCATTTTAAAAAATCCACGCTTATTTAGGGTCTTTCAAAAGTTATTTTAAAAAGAAATCCACGCTTATTTAGGGTCTTTCAAAAATTATTTTAAAAAAATCCACGTTTATTTAGAGTCTTTCAAAAATTATTTTAAAAAAATCCACGCTTATTTAGGGTCCTTCAAAAGTTATTTTAAAAAAATCCACGCTTATTTATGGTCTTTTAAAAAATTAGTTAAAAAAAAATCCACGCTTATTTAGGGTCTTTCAAAAATTATTAAAAAAAATCCACTCTTATTTAGGGTCCTTCAAAAATTATTTTAAAAAAAATCCACGCTTATTTAGGGTCTTTCCAAAATTATTTTAAAAAAATCCACGCTTATTTAGGGTCTTTCAAAAATTATTTAAAAATGGATGGTTTTTTGTATGACGTTGATTTAAACACATATTTAAGTCTGTAGCCTAAAAGCCATCCCGTAATCTTTCTCAGACATACCACATGTGCCAGAATAAAAATTGAAAATTTGAATTTTTAGACGATTCGACGAACCTCACTTCCGAAACTCATCATAAATAAATTGTTCAAATTTTGCTCAATATTTATTATTGCATTTCATTTTGAAATTTGTATCAAAAAATGCTAGAGAATACTCTCAATTCTCCTTTACTGGTCCGAGAGTGATAATGAAAGTCCTTATCTGCATGGCACTCAATTCAATTAAGAATTTCCGATCACCTTCCATCTCCAAGGGCAAATCACCCACAGAATATTTTATGCGTTTCAATTTTTCGCTACGCATACGATTCAATTCCTGATTCCGCGGCGATTTCATTTCCCTCTTTAAACGATTGCTTTCCGCTCCCAATTTTCCTGCCGGCAATAGCTCATCATAGAATTGTGTCGAAACCATAGGCCTCTCCGCCTTCTGCAGCTGTACATAGTTGTAGGCCTTTGAGAAAATGGCATAACTTTCATAGCTATCCTCTTCAGGATCGGGTACAAATTCCATGCGACGATTTTCATCCAACCAGGCGTTGCCATCCAGGGTGGTCTCACGCATATTGCTGATTTGGAAGGCCCCAAAAATGCTCTTCACATTGAATTGTACAAATTTGGAGAACTCCGGATCTTCATCTTTTTCGAGTAGATGTTCGAAACGTACAAGGATTTCATGATCATGCCAGGGTTCAAAGGTCAGCAAGTGGATGTTTTGCGGCAAGCTGGCCGACATGGCGGTGAACTGGAAGTGAAATAAATTAAATTATGGAAAAATTTGAGGTCATCCTACTCACAATATTGGTGAACCTTTGACGCCATTGGGTGTAGCTATAATTTGTGGGACTTAAGAAAGTCCATGGCGCCACAGTTTTCTCCAGCTGAGTAAATCTCTCCACAGCCTGGAGGGTTGGACTTTGATCCAGCTGCGATGAACCAAATATCAAATAATGTTTGCCCCGCGCCACCAAACCCTGGCCATAGGCGGTCTCATTCAACGACTCATCCACACCAAAGGCATCATCATGCAAAAGTCTCCGATGCACCATCAACTCCAATGAACCATCGGCCAATGAGGACCCTCCTTGGGCCCTATCCGTCAAAATGGCCAAACGGGCATGTTCATCCTCTAGGGCAATTTTCGTCGTGACCGGATAATAATTACCCGCAGTGTGTTCTAATAACTTCACCCTCCACGTATCGCGATGATCCTTCAGACGTTTTATCATTTCCCGACCATTCGAATCGGTATAGAAAATACCCTCGGATTTTATGTCGGCATTGAAACGTGTTATGATTTCCTTGCCCACACCATCTTCTATGGGTATCGGACCGACTAGCCATTCAAATTCCGCATAACGTTGACCCTTGTAGACCCTAATAACTTGACTAATCCAATCGTTGAATTTCTGATGTACCTCCTCGACCAAATCGCCACGATACACCGTGATTTCGGGAGCCACGGTAACCGTGCGTACCCTATCCGCCTTGGGCCTAAAGATATAGGCACCCGATGAGCGATTGGCAAATTCACGATTATCTCCAATGGCTGCCTCGTAGTACAAGAACTCCTGGCTGACAATACGCGAAACGCCATCGGATTCAACATTGGCCAGGAAACCATTTGTGTCGAAGGTTAGACGTATAAACTACGGGAAAGGAAAATAGATTTTCATCAAAACATTTCTAAATTTCTGAGAGAAACTTCTCCTTACCTCATTTCCGATATCAATCAAACTGGACATATTCTCAGGATCTGGTACCGGTTTCATGTGATGGCCATTGGATTTCGTGATGTAATAGGATTTATAACCAAATGCCGGCAATTCGGAGGCTAGGAATATTAACTCATATTTGGCCTGGGATTCTCGGAAGGTTAGATTTTGCACAGGCTCGGCGACGGGAACGTATTGGATGTCCAGGACAACATCTAAGGTAAAAATATAAAAATTTAATTTCAGAAAAATAATTTTCAAGGCCGTTTAAAAATAAGGATATATTTTTAAGACTTTGCGGAACAAACTATTAAAAACGGAGAAAATTAGAAATCAGATCAAACCTGATACCCCCACATCAATCAGGTCGCAAAAGTTGTTCCGACGAAAGTCGGCATCCTCGTTGCTGTTATTAATTTTTTTAAACATAAATTTCTGAATAAATCTTAGGAACTCCCTATTTAATTTGCTACCCTCGTTGATTTTTTTTCCGCGCCTGATCGAATGGCCCTCGTCGATGTTTACGTGTTTGGTGACATCAGAACAACATACCGTCAGGACATTGCATTTCGTCGGAGACCAACAGCGACCAGCAGCAACAATAAGCCTGTGTAGGTGAAATGGGAGGCTTCGCTGACTAAATTTAGGTGACAACGGGTCGAAGTCCCGGCGACGCAGTACCTTTGAAGAGTTCGTAACTCTTGGGTTCTCGGTATTTTTAAAAAAAAAAACCTGAAGAGATCGTATATCGTGGTTCTCTGTATTTTAGGGTAAACCCTTGGATTCTCGGTGCTTTTAGATTTAACCCTTGAAAAGTTCGTATCCCTTGGGTTCTGGGTATTTTAGATACAATTCTTGTAGAGTACGTATCACTTGGGTTCTCTGTACTTTCCTTGCCATGAAGAAGCGATACCTATCCCTTGGGTTCTCGGTATTTTAGGTATTACCCTTGATGAGTTCGTATCCCTTGGGTTCCCGGTGTTTTTAAATATAACCCTTGAAGAATAGGTATGCCTAGGGTCCTCCGTGTTTTAGTGAATCCCTTGATGAGTATGTATCCATTGAGTTCTCGGTATTTTAGCTATAACACTTGAAGAATCTGCATCTCTTGGGTTCTCGGTATTTTAGATATAACCCTTGAAGAGTTCATATTTCTTAGATTCTAAGTATTTTTGGTTTAACCCTTGAAGATTCTGTATGCCTTGGGCTCTCGGTGTTTTTTAAAACCCCGTTGAAGTGTTCGTATCCCTTGGGTTCCCGGTGTTTTTAGATATAACCCTTGAAGATTTCGTATTTCTTAGGTTCTCGGTATTTTATGTTCATCCTTGAAAGAGCTCGCATCCTTGGGTTGTCGGTGTTTTAACTATAGCCCTGGAAGAGTCGGAATCCAAAGTTTCTTCCATGTTTAATAAAGCCCTTGATAAGTTTGTATCCCCTGGGTCCTGGGTATTTTAGAAAAAAGGCCTTCAAACATTCAAATCTCTAGAGTTCTCGGCATTTTTAGATATAACCCTTGAAGAGTTCGTATTCCTTTGGATTCTCGGTATTTTAGGTATAACCCTTGAAGAATCTGTATCCTTTGGCTCCTCCGTGTTTTAGTAAAGCCTTTGATGAGTTTGTATTCCTTGGGTTCTCGGTGTTTTAGCTATAGCTCTGGAAGAGTCGAAATTCCATGCGTTCTCGTTATTTTAGACATTACCCTTGGAGAGTTCTCGGTGTTTTAGCTATAGCCCTGGGAGAGTCGTAATCCAATGGGTCTTCCATGTTTTAATAAAGCCCCTGATAAGTTTGTATCTCTTGGGTTCTCGTTATTTAAAAAAAAGACCTTCTAGTATTCACATCTCTAGAGTTCTCGGCGTTTTTAGATATGACCCTTGAAGAGTTCGTATCCCTTGGGTTCTTGGTATTTTAGGTTTAACCCTTGAAGGGTTCGTATCCCTTGGGTTCTCGGTGTTTTTTTAGATATAGCCCTGGAAGAGTCTGAATACCTTGGCCTCTCGACAATTTAGGTTTAAGCCTTGGAGAGTTCATATCCCTTGGGTTCTCGGTATTTTAGACAAAGCTCTTAAAAAGTTCGTATCTCTTGCGTTTCTGGTGTTTTTAGATATAACCCCTGAAGAGTACGCATTCTTTGGGTCTTCCGTGTTTTAGTAAAGTCCTTGATGAGTCTGTATCCCATGGCTTCTCGGTATTTTAGACATAATCCTTGATTGGTTCGTATCCCTTGGGTGGTCCGTGTTTTGCCTTATCAGTGATTTAGGTAAAATCCTTGAAGAGTTTTTTGTGGGTTCTCGCTGTTTTAGCTGTAGCTTTGGAGGAGTCCCATCACCTGAGCCCTAGCGGATATTAATCGTACTATGAATCCCTAGAACTCCTCACTCTCACTCTATCTCTCTCTGTACAAGAACCCATACGACTAACAAACAAGGAGGGTAACTGCTAGCAACAGAGATGGAAGGACTACCAGCAGGAAGCGATCCTCTTTCTCACTCTATCTCTCTCCCCCCTCTCTCTCTCTCTCTCTCTCTCTGTAGAAGAACCCATACGACTAACAAGCTAGGAGGGTAATTGTTAGCAACGGTATTGAACGGAGAGGTATCTAACCGCTGGATACGATCGGTGAACTTAGTTAGGTCACCCCCGTGATATTCAGCCAGTCGTTGTGGATATAGAATAGGGTAAACTTAACCAGGTCGCCTACCAGCAACGAAGATACCCAAGCCGTTTGGGGAACTTAGGCAGGTCCCCCCCCAAAACACGGAATAAAAACAGATTTGTAGCTCTAGATACATTCTTTCTAACCCCAAATCGGACTGTGGTGTGCTCCCACAAAAAAAAAATATTTTTTTTTTCAAAAAAACAAAAAAAAAAAATCTTTCAAATAAAGCTTTTAAAAAATTATTAGAAATATTAAACAATTCTTAAATTGTTTTTTAAATAAAAATGTATAAAAACAAATATTTTTTTTTTCGAAATGAGTGAAATTTAGCCAGGCTTTGAACCGTTTTTTGGCATAATGTTTCAAGAAAATATATATAATTTTTTTTTTTCAAAAAATAGAGTTAAATATTTTTTTATAAAAATTTCTTAAAATAAAATTTATAAAAATATTTAATATTTAAAAAAAATTAAATGTTTTCTTCCAAAAAAAAGGTTAATTTTTTCACAAAAAAAAAAGTTTAAAAATTCATAAAAAGTTCTTAAAATTATCTTTTAAATAAAAATTTAGAAAGATTAAAAAATATATTATAAAAAAAAATATTTTTTCAAAGATTTAATTTTATTCAAACTATGTTTAATTTTTTTTCAAAATATTTCTAAATTTTTTTTTAATGTTTCAATTTTTTTCAAAAAATGTTTAATATTTTATTAAAAAAAACTTTAAAATTTTCATTAAAAGAAATAAGATGATCTTTAAAAAATATTAGAAAGAACTAAAAAATATTAAAAAAAATTAAATGTTAATTTTTTTTAAATAATTTTTTCCAAAAAAAAAATTTAAACAATATTTTTGTTCCTATAAAAATGTATTTGTTTAAAAAAAATGTTTAAATTTTTTTCGTAAGAAGAATTAAGATTATTCTTAAAATAAAATTTATAAAAATATTTTATATTAAAAAAAATAAAAAATAAATATTTTCCAAAAAAGGTTAATTTTTTCACAAAAAAAATATTTTAAAAAAAAAAAAATGTTTAAAAATTCATAAAAAGTTCTTAAAATTATCTTTTAAATAAAAATTTTGAAAGATTAAAAAATATATTATAATTTTTTTTTTAAGATTTAATTTTGTTTCAAAAAAAAAAAAAAATGTTTAATTTAAAAAAAATGTTTAGTTTTTTTTCAAAAATGTTTAAATTTTTATCAAAAAAAAAAAAAAACTTTAATAATTTTCATAAAAAGAATTAAGATGATCTTTAAAAAAAAATATTAAAAAGAATAAATAAATAACAAATGTTTAAACGTTTCTTTTGCTCAAAAAAAAAAAAAAAAAATAAGTTTTCCAAAAAAAAAAAAAAAAAAAAAAAAAAGATTAAACAATATTTTTTTTCCTATAAAAATTTATTTTTTTAAAAAAAATTTTTAAATTTTTTTCAAAAAATGTTTAAATTTTTTTCAAAAAAATTTTTAATATTTTTCATAAGAAGAATTAAGATGATTTTTAAAATATTAGAAAGATTAAAAAAGATATTTAAAAAAAATTAAAGGTTTAATTTTTTTTTCCCAAAAAAAATTTAATTTTTTCCAAAAAAAATAATTTTTTTAAACAATATTTTTTCCAATAACAATTTCTTAAAATACGCTTTTGAAAAAAATCTCCAAAAAATACTTTCAAAAATTCTCACCTTTATAATCCTTGACGACATAATTAACATCCGGCACCGGCAACCTTACATACTCATCAGTCGTATGACCCAGTGGATTATATAAAGTCAACACGAAACGCTCACTTTGTTCGGAAACATCACACGAACTGATGTTGAGCAGTGAACAAGTTTTAAATTCAAATTTAAAAGGCCTTGGGGCACCATAACGCTTCGGTCGCGGCGAATCACCTTCCACCAAAACATTCAAAACCGATCGAGCATTAGCCGAACACGCTCTCATTGCAACGCTGAGATGTCGGGCATAGTCGTAGGCCACCTTTTGCTTTTCCGTACCCGTAACAGCATCGTGATGTTGCATTACACCCATTGTTTCGCGCATAAAACCCAAGTGGGGTAGGAGTTCGGGGTGCAAATTCGGAGTGAGGGTGGTAAGTTGTTTGCACACCTGCAGAAAATTATTTCCCATACGTTCGTAACGTTTTATCGTGGGCCTCGAGGTGAAATAGCCCGTCCAATAGGCATGCGGATCCGAGGCATAGGGGAAGAAATCATCGTCCTTTGTGGGCCACGTAATGCCCGCATCGTGCAGGGCCTTCAGATAGCAAGATGGTGTGGAGTAGAGGAGATTTATGTTCGAACCATTGGCCTGACGTTCATTGGCATATCTGTGGGGGAACATTTTTGGGATTTCAAGTACATTTTTGGGGGGTTAGAGGAAGTTGCAGAATCTTTTGCTTAAACCTGACTCACTTGATTAATTTATCCAAATTTTTATACCACATATTGGCATTTTGATAATGGAAATCCTCACCCATGGTAACCAGGATATTTTTGGAACGATAACCCTCAGCCATTTCGAGGGCAATTTTCAAGAATTCATCTACCTAGGGGTCATGAAGAGGATCTTAATGCAAAGATTTTCAAGATTTTCAGGAGGAAAGTCACTGCTTTTTTGAAATAATTTCAAAATCTGGGGAGATCTCATGGAGAAAATTTTCATATATTTTAAGAGACCGGATTTTTTTTTTCAATTTTTTTTTTTTCAATTTCCGATCATAGAGAAAATTTTGATATTTTTTTCAAAGGATGGTGGAAACATGACAAGAAATATTTTCGATGTCTGATTTTTTCAAATTTTTTTTGAATAAAGAAAATTTTGATATTTTCCCACGGATTGAATATTCGTTGAAGAAATATTTTTTAAAAAAATCCACGGATTGAATATTCGAGAAAGTTTTGATATTTTTAAAGAGGACGTCGATGTTTTTCAAATTTTTTTTCAATTTCCGAATATAGAGAAAATTTTGATATTTTTTTTTTTCAAAGGATGGTGGAAACATGACAAGAAATATTTTCGATGTGTGATTTTTTTTTCAAATTTTTTTCAATTTCCGATCAAAAAGAAAATTTTGATATTTTTTTCAAAGGATGGTGGAAACTTAACAAGAAATATTTTCAATGTCTGATCATGGGTAAGGATTTTTTCTCAATTTTTTTTCGGAGCCAAATTTAAGCAACTTTTCATTTTTTTCCAATTTTTTTTTTTTGAATATTTTTTACCTTATCAATTTATCCAAATTTTTATAATAAACATTGGCGTCCTGATAGGTAAAATCACCACCCATGGTAACTATGATGTTATTGGTGCGATAATATTTCGATTGTTTTTTGACAAACTCAAAAAACTCATCGACCTGGCCAAAACGAATTTTTAAAATATTTAAAAAAAAATTAAAAATATTTTTTAATCCTCCTCAACTTACCCTCCTCTTCACATTATTATCCGGACTATGTTTACCATCAATGATGGGCTCATCGGCACACAGGATGTCGAAACAGAATCCTGGCGGTGGCTGATATTGATTGTACAACGCTCCCGTAAAGAGATGTGAACTCTCATCCAAATTGGCCGAAGCTCTCCATATCATTTCGGCTGTTTTCGTCATTAAACGTTCATCTTTATCCTGATAGTCGAGTCGGCCAAAGAACAGGCCATCGAAACCCATTTGCGCAAACATTGATGCCATTTCACGTGAATGGCCAAAGGGATCAATTTGCCAGCCAATGCGAGGTCGACCACATTCGCCAAAGGTGTCGTTGAGGCGTCTACGGGGGAGAGAAATTGGAAATAAATAATAATGAATATTCTTTGAAGAAATATTTTTTTAAAAAATCCACGCCTTAAATATTCTTTGAAGAAATATTTTTTTAAAAAATCCACGCCTTAAATATTCTTTGAAGAAATATTTTTTAAAAAATCCACGCCTTGAATATTCGTTGAAGAAATATTTTTTTAAAAATCCACGCCTTAAATATTCGTTGAAGAAATATTTCTTAAAAAATCCACGCCTTGAAAATCTTTAAAGAAATATTTTTTTAAAAAATCCACGCCTTGAATATTTTCAAAGAAATATTTTTTTAATAAATCCACGCCTTAAATATTTTCAAAAAAATATTTTTTAAAAAATCCACGCCTTGAATATTTTCAAAGAAATATTTTTTTAATAAATCCACGCCTTGAATATTTTCAATGAAATATTTTTTTTAATCAATCCACGCCTTGAATATTTTCAAAGAAATATTTTTTTAATAAATCCATGCCTTGAATATTCTTTGAAGAAATATTTTTTTAATTAATCCATGCCTTGAATATTCTTTGAAGAAATATTTTTTTAATAAATCCACACCTTGAATATTTTCAAAGAAATATTTTTTTAAAAAATCCACGCCTTGAATATTCGTTGAAGAAATATTTTTTTAAAAAATCCACGGCTTGAGTATCATCCAAAAAATATATTTTTTTTTTAAATCCACGCCTTGAGTATTTTTCAAGAAATACTTTTAAAAAAATCCACGGCTTGAGTATCATCCAAAAAATATTTTTTAAAAAATCCACGCCTTGAATATATTCAAAGAAATAATTTTTTTAAAAAAATCACTGCTTGAATTCATCCAAAAAATATTTTTTTAAAAATTCGTCTACTTGAATGTCTTAAAAGAAATATTTTTTACAAAATCCAAGCCTTAAATATCTTCAAATTTTGTTTTAAATATTAAAAAATATTTTTTTGAATATCATTTCAATATTTCTTTGGGGACTTTCAAAGAAATAAAATTAATTTATCTGAAGTGTTTTTAAACTAGTGTAAATTTGTAAAAAATTCTCCTACTCACCTTAGACCCCAGGCAAACTGATCAATTACACTTTGATAATGTGTGGTGGCCTCATCATTCATGCTCCATGCCCCACCGATGAATTCCAAACGTCCCTCATCGACCAACATGCGTACCTTCTGCTTCATTTCGTCGCTTTGTTCGGACCACCATTTGAAAAAGAAGGCCGATTCGACATAGATAAAACGCTTTTTGGGATCTTTCAGCAATTCCACGATTACCGAATCCAAAATGTATTGAACTCCGGCTTTTTGTATCAACGTTTGACTGCCATAGTAATATTGGTCTACGGTCTTCAGCCAGCCAACATCGTCGTGGGTGTGCGGCACCAAGTGGACATTGAGCATGTGGGGTTTCGGTTTGGGACAGCTCTAAAATTATGAATTTATTTCATTATATTTTTTTCCTTATTTTTAAATATTTATTTTTTTAATTGTCTTATTTTTTTCAGTTTTTTTATTTATTTTTTTTTTATTTTTCATTTTTTTTTTAATTTCCTTATTTTAATTTTTTTTTCAAATTGTTTTATTTTTCATTTTTTAATCTATTTTTTAATTAATTTTCTTATTTTTTTTTTTAATTTTTGCATTTTTTTTCAACAAAAGACAACGATTCTGCTCCCGTTTTGCTTTATTTGTTATTTTTTTCTGTGTGATTTACATTATCAGCGATAACATTATTTTGACCTACCGCATAACCACATTTGGCCCCTACATTTGGCATGGATTTTTGTGGACGTAATTCGACCACGGTCAAAATTGCCAAGAAAATGCCTAGCCAGGCAAGATTTTTGACCGACTTTAAGTCGGAAATTAACATTGTTGTTTTTTGATAATATTTTTTTCACTTCGTAAGAATTTTTCCAATTTTCTTTTTTCTTTCTTTTCACTTCGATTTTTTAATGGCTCGCGTAAAAACAACAAATCCCGCTGTGTGATATCACCGCAACGACTCAAACCCAACTGAGTTCTAGTAGAGAATTTAATTGATATTTATTTAATCCAGACTTAGCTCAATTGTCTTTCAAGTGCATGCCTTTGTGTTGGCACCTCAAGCCACACTCAAGCGTATCTTAAAGATTGTGAGTTGAGTGGAAGAGAATTGTAACCGGCAACCAGGGATTTGTTTACACAGTAGGGGGGAGAGACTTTTTGTTATTGTGCTCTCTCTCTCCCTCTCTCTCTCTCTTTCTCTCGTTTTCAATTGCGTACTCTTTTTGTAATGGCAAGTGCAGGCCATTGTCAGATAAGGCAGGATAGAAAAATGCTCTACAGTCCAGCATGAAATTGTAGCAGAAGAAGGAAAAACAAGCCACTATCCTTGGCTTTTATAAAATGTCCTTAAATAAACATTAAAAATATTCCTTTAAAAATTCTCTTTAAAAAATTCACAACTTGAAAAAAAAATTAAAATAAAAAAAAAAAAATTTTGTGCAAAAAATTTTTTTTTGTAAAAATTTGTCTTAAAAAATATTTAAAAAAAAATCTAAAAAAATTGTCTTAAAAATATTTATAAAAAACTGTCTTAAAAAATATTTATAATAAACTGTCTTGAAAAAATCCATGTCATAATCCTTGAAAATTTATTTTTTAAAAAATCCACGCCTTAAAAGATCCTTGAAAAATTATTTTTTTAAAAATCCTTGAAAATTTATTTTTTAAAAAATTCACGCCTTAAAAAATCCTTGAAAAATTATTTTTTTAAAAATCCTTGAAAATTTATTTTTTAAAAAATCCACGCCTTAAAAGATCCTTTTTTTTAAAAATTATTTTTTTAAAAATCCTTGAAAAATTATTTTTTAAAAAATTCACGCCTTAAAAAATCCTTGAAAAATTATTTTTTTAAAAATCCTTGAAAATTTATTTTTTAAAAAATCCACGCCTTAAAAGATCCTTTTTTTAAAAAATTATTTTTTTAAAAATCCTTGAAAAATTATTTTTTAAAAAATTCACGCCTTAAAAAATCCTTGAAAAATTATTTTTTTAAAAATCCTTGAAAATTTATTTTTTAAAAAATCCACGCCTTAAAAGATCCTTTTTTTAAAAATTATTTTTTTAAAAATCCTTGAAAAATTATTTTTTAAAAAATTCACGCCTTAAAAAATCCTTGAAAAATTATTTTTTTAAAAATCCTTGAAAATTTATTTTTTAAAAAATCCACGCCTTGAAAAATTATTTTTTTAAAGTCCTTGAAAATTTATTTTTTAAAAAATCCATGCCTTAAAAAATCCTTGAAAAATTATTTTTTTAAAAATCCTTGAAAAATTATTTTTTTAAAAGAAAATCTATGATAAATTATTTTTTTAAATAATCCTTGTAAAACTACTTTTTTAAAAGATCCACATCTCCACGCCTTGAAAAAATCTTTTTAAAAAATGAAAAAAAAATTTTAGAAGATCCACGCTTTGAAGAAATATTTTTTAAAAGATCCACGACTTGAAAAAAATATTTTTAGAAGATCCACGCCTTGAAATAATCTTTTTAAAAAGATTCACGTCTAGAAAAAAATATTTTTTAAAAGATCCACGCCTTGAAAAATATACATATTTTTTAAAATCCCTTTCTTAAAAGATCCACGCCTTGAAAAATATATATTTTTTTTAAAATCCCTTTCTTAAAAGATCCACGCCTTAAAAAATATTTTTAAGAGACCCACGCCTTGAAAAAATATTTTTTTTAAAAAATCAACGCCTTGAAAAAATATACATTTTTTTTGTAAGAGATCCACGCATTGAAAAAATATTTTTTAAAAAATTCTCGCCTTAAAAAAAAATTTTAAAAAAATTTAATCTTTAAAAAATCCAAGCCTGTGTTGATGGATACATTTTGAAAAAAATGTTCTTTGAAAATACCACGCCTTGAATATCATTTCAAAAATATTTTTTTAAGTCCACGCCTTGAATATCATTTCAAAAATATTTTTTAAAAATTCCTCGCCTCAAATATAATTTCAAATTTTTTTTTTTAAAAATTCCTCGCCTCGGATATAGTTTCAAAAATATTTTTTAAAAAATCCACGCCATGAATATCATTTCAAAAATATTTTTTAAAAAATCCACGCCTTGAATATCATTTCAAAAATATTTTTTAAAAAATCCACGCCATGAATATAATTTCAAAAATATTTTTTTAAAAAATCCACGCCTTGAATATGATTTCAAAAATATTTTTTAAAAAATCCACGCCTTGAATATCATTTCAAAAATATTTTTTAAAAAATCCACGCCTTGAATATGATTTCAAAAATATTTTTTAAAAAATCCACGCCTTGAATATCATTTCAAAAATATTTTTTAAAAAATCCACGCCTTGAATATCTTAAAAAAAATATTTTTTTAAATAAATCCACGCCTTGAATATCATTAAAACAATATTTTTTAAAAAATCCACGCCTTGAATATCATTTCAAATATATTTTTTTAAAAAATCCACGTCTCGGATATCGTTTCAAAAATATTCTTTAAAAATTTCACGCGTTGAATATCATTTCAAAAATATTCTTTAAAAAATCCACGCCTTGAATATCATTTCAAAAATATTTTTTAAAAAATCCACACCTTGAATATCATCCCAAAAAAGTATTTTTTTTAAAAATCCACGCCTTGAATATCATTTCAAAAGTATTTTTTTAAAAAATCCACGCTGTGTATATTATCCAAAAAAATATTTTTTTTAAAAAATCCATGCCGTGCATATTATCCAAAAATATTTTTTTAAAAAAATCCATGCCGTGCATATTATCCAAAAATATTTTTTTTAAAAATCCACGCCGTGCATATTATCCAAAATATATATTTTTAAAAAATCCACGCCTTGTGTATCATCCAAAATAATATTTTTTTAAAAATCCACGCCTTGTTTATCATCCAAAAAAATATTTTTCAAAAAATCCTCGCCTCGAACATAATTTTCAAAATATTTTTTACAAAATCCTCGCCTCGAATATAATTTCCAAAATATTTTTTAAAAAATCCACGCCTTGAATATCATATCAAAAATATTTTTTAAAAATTCATTGTCTTGAATATCTTTGAAAAAAATATTTTTTATTGCTATTTTTTGGCCCTCGACTGTATTTCCAGCCTTGTTTATGCTCGATCACTATCAGTAGGTTTCATCAATGGCTCGTCTTTCCCGTTGAGTTGAATTTTTGTTGCAAAACCCAGCGATTGCTTAGGTGGAGGGTTGAATGGTCGTTTGATGAGTTGGTCAATCAGGTTAATTACCAATACACTCAAAAGGGTTTTACTTTCCAACTTAGGTAATTATGGATGTAATTTCTTATCGTGTCCTATCTATCATTGGTGGATAGAAACGAAAATGCAACTAGAATTTAATGGGTTTCTCGTTGAAGAACCGGATTTGTTTTATCAAAAAATGTGGCCAAACCTGACTTTTGAGATGGACTATTGGAAATGATTATTTTTATTTATTTATTTTTTTTTCAAGGAAAATTTTAATAAAAATATCTACAGATACCCAAAAAATATTTTTTGCAGCTACCTGTACGGATTTACTTCCTCAGCATAATTTTTATGTAACCAATTAGAGGTTGTTGATAATGAATCAATAAATTGCCAAAAGGTGGGAACTTTAGTACATATACACCATAAATTGTTATGACCATTATCGAAATACGTAATACGTTTTAGTCATTCGCACTCAAGTATGTATATCCCCTTTTCGTGATAAGCAGTTTCATAGAGTTTTCATTTCAACTTGCAACAAAATCATTCATGCATTGATTACTTTTTTTTAAATTAAAATACAACTTTTCGAATAATTGGATTATGTTGATAATGAAAGTTGAAGATAAGAAAATAATAAAAAAAAATTGAAAGGGAAAGGGAAGCATTTTCTAAAGGTCCCAAAAAAGAGGTGATTCTTAAAATATATTTTTCAAAGAATTTTTAATATTTTTCAAGGCCATCCATTTAAACAGCTGTGGATTTTTTAAAGAATATTTTTTCATGGGCCATCCATCCAAACAGTCGTGGATTTTTTAAGGATATTTTTTCACGGGTCATTCATTCAAACAGGCCTGAAATTTTTAAAGAATATTTTTTCAAGGGCCATCCATCCAAACAGGCGTGGATTTTTTAAAGAATATTTTTTCAAGGCCCATCCATACAGGCGTGGATATTTTAAGGAATATTTTTTCAAGGCCCATCCATACAGGCGTGGATATTTTAAGGAATATTTTTTCAAGGCCCATCCATACAGGCGTGGATATTTTTAAGAATATTTTTTCAAGGGCCATACAGGCGTAGATTTTTTAAAGAATATTTTTTCAAGGGCCATACAGGCGTAGACTTTTTAAAGAATATTTTTTCAAGGGCCATACAGGCGTGGATTTTTTAAAGAATATTTTTTCAAGGCCCATCCATACAGGCGTAGATTTTTTAAAGAATATTTTTTCAAGGGCCATACAGGCGTGGATTTTTTAAAGAATATTTATTCAATACAGGCGTGGATTTTTTAAAGAATATTTATTCAATACAGGCGTGGATTTTTTAAAGAATATTTATTCAATACAGGCGTGGATTTTTTAAAGAATATTTATTCAATACAGGCGTGGATTTTTTAAAGAATATTTATTCAATACAGGCGTGGATTTTTTAAAGAATATTTATTCAATACAGGCGTGGATTTTTTAAAGAATATTTATTCAATACAGGCGTGGATTTTTTAAAGAATATTTATTCAATACAGGCGTGGATTTTTTAAAGAATATTTATTCAATACAGGCGTGGATTTTTTAAAGAATAATTGTTCAATACAGGCGTGGATTTTTTAAAGAATATTTATTCAATACAGTCGTGGATTTTTTAAAGAATATTTATTCAATGGCCATACAGGCGTGGACTATTTTAAAGAATATTTTTTCAAGGGCCATCCATCTAAACAGGCGTGGATTTTTTAAAGAATATTTTTTCAAGGGCCATCCATCTAAACAGGCGTGGATTTTTTAAAGAATATTTTTTCAAGGGCCATCCATCTAAACAGGCGTGGATTTTTTAAAGAATATTTTTTCAAGGGCCATCCATCTAAACAGGCGTGGATTTTTTAAAGAATATTTTTTCAAGGGCCATCCATCTAAACAGGCGTGGATTTTTTAAAGAATATTTTTTCAAGGGCCATCCATCTAAACAGGCGTGGATTTTTTAAAGAATATTTTTTCAAGGGCCATCCATCTAAACAGGCGTGGATTTTTTAAAGAATATTTTTTCAAGGGCCATCCCAGGCGTGGATTTTTTAAAGAATATTTTTCCAAGGCCCATACAGGCGTGGATTTTTTAAAGAATATTTTTTCAAGGGCCATACAGGCGTGGATTTTTTAAAGAATATTTTTCAAAGGTCATCCCTGGCGTGGATTTTTAAAGAATATTTTTCAAAGGTCATCCCAGGCGTGGATTTTTTAAAGAATATTTTTTCAAGGGCCATACAGGCCTGGATTTTTTAAAGAATATTTTTCAAAGGTCATCCCTGGCGTGGATTTTTAAAGAATATTTTTCAAAGGTCATCCCAGGCGTGGATTTTTTAAAGAATATTTTTTCAAGGGCCATCCTAGGCGTGGATTTTTTAAAGAATATTTTATTTTTTTAATTTATTTCAACGCCAAATATCCAAATGTTTTCTTTTTATGTGTAATCGCATTTCTCAGAATCTTCCGTTACTGCCAACGAAAAACACTTGAAACCATACGAATTAGCCAATCCAACCACTTTAATAAATTATTTTCAGAATTAATCAATACAAAATCGCCAAACGCCACTTCATCTTGTTGTTGGTCGTTGGCGACAATGATTAATACCTGAAACGGAGTTGTTGTCGAAATATTCCCAGAGCTATCAAAATGAAAATTGAAACTTGGCCAAACAAAAAAAAAAAAAAAAAAAAAAAAAAAAAAACCCTCTCAATTATTTTTGAGTTCAACTCATTTACACACGACAACGAATTCTTATCAGTCCTACCTCAGGAGAGCTTTTCGTGCGTTGTAGATTTGTTTTGAGAAATTTTCAAATTAAATCGAACGGCCCATACCTCCCCTATAAATAATAAAGTAAACAATCACTGAATTTAGTTGAAATTTTTGAGCGAAACGAAGAACGTGCTGACAGCAAAGAATTCGAAACCGGGAGTTGAAGGAAATTTAAAAACGAAAATTCTTGACAATTTTCATCGAAAAGTGTTTGTTTTTTGTATTTGACATCGAAATTTGGTGACCTCAAATAATTGGAAGCCGAAATGAAATTCGGTGTGTGGGCTTTATCATCAGCCCTTTTGGTGCTCTCCTGGAGCTACCATGCCGAGGCCGCCTGTGGTTATAAGGTATGAAAATGGGAGGAGAATGTGATATTTGGAAAATAATGAGAGAGAGGGAGTGTGGGGTTAATGGAATAGTGTAAACAAAATGCATAGATTAAAAATTTAAATAAAAAATTAAAACAAAAAAAATATTTTTTAAAAAATCCACCTTGTAAAAACTACTTGAAAAAATATTTTTTTAAAAAATCCACGTTGTGAAAAATTACTTAAAAAAATATTTTTTAAAAAAATCCACGTTGTGAAAAATTACTTGAAGAAATATTTTTTAAAAAATCCGCATTGTAAAAACTACTTGAAAAAATTTTTTTAAGAAATCCAAGTCGTAGGAATTACTTGAAAAAATATTTTCTTAAAAAATCCACGTTGTAAGAATTACTTGAAAAAATAATTTTTAAAAAATCCACGTTGTAAGAATTACTTGAAAAAATATTTTCTTAAAAAATCCACGTTCTAAGAACTACTTGAAAAAATATTTTTAAAAACATTCTCGTAGTAAGAACTATTTGAAAAAATATTTTTTTTTTAAAATCCACGTTCTGTGAACTCCTTCTAAAAATATTTTTTTAAAAATCCACTTTCTAAGAAATACTTCTAAAAATATTTTTTATAAAATCCACTTTCTAAGAAATACTTGAAAAAATCGTTTTTTTAGAAAAATCCACGTTTAAAGAACTACTTTAAAAAATATTTTTTTTAAATCCACGTTTTAAGAACTACCTTAAAAAATATTTTTAAAAACATCCACGTTGTAAGAACTATTTGATAAAATGTTTTTTTTAAAAAATCCACGTTCTAAGAAACACTTGAAAAATTTTTTTTTAAATCCACGGTCTAAGAAATACTTGATAAAACATTTTTTAAAAAAATCCAAGTTGTAAAAACTACTTTAAAAAAATATTGTTAAAAAATCCACATTCTATGAACTCCTTCTAAAAATATTTTTTAAAAAATCCACGTTCTAAGAAATACTTGAAAAAAATATATTTTTTTAAAATCCACGTTGTAAGAAGTGCTTTAAAAATATTTTTAAAAGCATCCACGTTGTAAGAACAATTTGAAAAAATATTTTAAAAATCCGCGTTGTAAGAGCTATTTGATTTTTTTTTTAAAATCCGCGTTGTAAGAACTTTTTGATTTTTTGAAAAATCCGCGTTGTAGGAACTTTTTGAAATCTAATTTTTAAAGAATCCACATTCTTTGAACTGCTTAAAAAAATATTTTTTAAAAAACGAACGTTCCTTGAAATACTTGAAAAAAATATTTTTTAAAAAACGAAAGTTTCTTGAACTACTTGAAAAAATATTTTTTAAAAAACGAACGTTCCTTGAACTACATAAACAAATATTATTTTATAATTTTTAAAAAATCCATGTTCTATGAACTTCTTCTAAGAATAATTTAAAAAATACACGTTCTATGAACTTCTTCTAAAAATAATTTTTAAAAAATCCACGTTCTATGAACTCCTTCTAAAAAAATTTTTTGAAAAATCCACGTTCTATGAACTTCTTCTAAGAATAATTTAAAAAATACACGTTCTATGAACTCCTTCTAAAAATAATTTTTAAAAAATCCACGTTCTAAGAACTCCTTCTAAAACTATTTTTTTAAAAAATCCACGTACTATGAACTACTTCTAAAACTATTTTTTTAAAAAAATCCACGTACTATGAACTACTTCTAAAAATATTTTTTTAAAAAATCCACATACTATGAACTACTTCTAAAAATATTTTTTTAAAAAATCCACGTACTATGAACTACTTCTAAAACTATTTTTTTAAAAAATCCACGTACTATGAACTACTTCTAAAACTATTTTTTTAAAAAATCCACGTACTATGAACTACTTCTAAAAATATTCTTTTAAAAAATCCACGTACTATGAACTACTTCTAAAAATATTTTTTTTTTTAAATCCACGTACTATGAACTACTTCTAAAAATATTTTTTTAAAAAATCCACGTACTATGAACAACTTCTAAAAATATTTTTTTAAAAAATCCACGAACTTTTTTAAAAATATTTTTTTTTTAAAAATCCACGTACTATGAACTACTTCTAAAAATATTTTTTTTTAAAAATCCACGTTCTATGAACATCTTCTAAAAATAATTTTTAAAAAATCCACGTTCTAAGAAAAACTTGAAAAAATATTTTTTTTTTAAAATCCACGTTCTATGAACATCTTCTAAAAATAATTTTTAAAAAATCCACGTTCTAAGAAAAACTTGAAAAAATATTTTTTTAAAAATCCACGTTGTAAGAACTACTTGAAAAAATATTTTTTAAAAAATCCGCGTTGTAAGAACTATTAAAAAATATTTTTTAACAAATTCACGTTCTTTGAACTACTTTAAAAAATCCACGTTTTATGCACAAATTTAAAAAATATTTTTTAAATTTCCGAATTCTAAGAACTACTCGAAAAAATATTTTTTAAAAAATCCACGTTCTATGCACAACATTAAAAAATATTTTTAAAATAGTAAAATTCTAAGAACTACTTCAAAAAATAATTTTTAAAAAATCCACGTTCTATGCACAACTTTAAAAAACATTTTTAAAATATCCAAATTCTAAGAACTACTTCATAAAATAATTTCTAAAAAAACCACGTTCTACGAACTACTCGAAAAAAATATTTTTAAAAAATCTAGGTTTTAAGAGCACTTCCTGCAATAATTTTTTTAAAACAATCACGTTGTAGGAACTAATTAAAATATATATATTAAAAAATCTCCAATTCACTTTTAGAAAATATTCTCATAAATAAATATCAGGTTTTGCTATAGCTCCCCTTGAATTTCTTTCATAAATAACTCCCCTTTGAACTTCTTTCAAGGCCTTGTAAATGACCCTCAAGAAAATCTACTCTACTTTCATTTGCTTGATTGCAGCCAATGGCAACGTATATATTTTTTTAATAAAGGCTTCTGAATAATCAAATTTTTATGAACTTATATTAATTCAACTTCTGGTAAACAATACCATAAATTTTGGTGTTTTATCTCCATCGACGTGATTTTTCGCCAATAGAATGGCAATCTAATCAATGAACCATTGTTGTTGGTTTTTCCTAAATATAATTATTTTAATCGTATATGGAGATATGGGTCAAACGTATAATATAGCCAAGCAATTTCACAAATTTGCAAAATTAGCATAAATGAGTCAGACATAAAAAAATCCAAATCTTTAAAAAAAATCCACGCCTGTAATGGATGAGCCTTGAAAAAATATTCTTTAAAAAATGCACGTCTGGGATGGCCCTTGAAAAAATATTCTTTAAAAAACCCACGCCTGGGAAGACCTTTAAAAAAATATTCTTTAAAAAACCCACGCCTGGGAAGACCTTTAAAAAAATATTCTTTAAAAAACCCACGCCTGGGACGGTCCTTGAAAAAATATTCTTTAAAAAATCCACGCCTGGGATGGCCTTTAAAAAAATATTCTTTAAAAAATCCATGTCTGGGCCTTGAAAAAATATTATTTAAAAAAACCACACCTGAATGGTCCTTGAAAAAATATTCTTTAAAAAAACCACGCCTGGAATGGCCCTTGAAAAAATATTCTTTAAAAAAACCACGCCTGGAATGGCCCTTGAAAAAATATTCTTAAAAAAAAAACCACGTCTGGGATGGCCCTTGAAAAAATATTTTTAAAAAAAACCACGCCTGAATGGCCCTTGAAAAAATATTCTTTAAAAAATCCACGCCTGTATGGATGGGCCTTGAAAAAATATTCTTTAAAAAATCTACGCCTGGGAAGACCTTTAAAAAAATATTCTTTAAAAAACCCACGCCTGGGAAGACCTTTAAAAAAATATTCTTTAAAAAACCCACGCCTGGGACGGTCCTTGAAAAAATATTCTTTAAAAAATCCACGCCTGGGATGGCCTTTAAAAAAATATTCTTTAAAAAATCCATGTCTGGGCCTTGAAAAAATATTATTTAAAAAAACCACACCTGAATGGTCCTTGAAAAAATATTCTTTAAAAAAACCACGCCTGGAATGGCCCTTGAAAAAATATTCTTTAAAAAAACCACGCCTGGAATGGCCCTTGAAAAAATATTCTTAAAAAAAAAACCACGCCTGGGATGGCCCTTGAAAAAATATTTTTAAAAAAAACCACGCCTGAATGGCCCTTGAAAAAATATTCTTTAAAAAATCCACGCCTGTATGGATGGGCCTTGAAAAAATATTCTTTAAAAAGTCTACGCCTGGGATGGCCCTTGAAAAAATATTCTTTAAAAAATCTACGCCTGGGATGGCCCTTGAAAAAAATATTCTTTAAAAAATCCACGCCTGGGATGGCCCTTGAAAAAAATATTCTTTAAAAAATCCACGCCTGGGATGGCCCTTGAAAAAATATTCTTTAAAAAATCTACGCCTGGGATGGCCCTTGAAAAAAATATTCTTTAAAAAATCCACGCCTGGGATGGCCCTTGAAAAAATATTCTTTAAAAAATCTACGCCTGGGATGGCCCTTGAAAAAAATATTCTTTAAAAAATCCACGCCTGGGATGGCCCTTGAAAAAAATATTCTTTAAAAAATCCACGCCTGGGATGGCCCTTGAAAAAATATTCTTTAAAAAATCCACGCCTGGGATGGCCCTTGAAAAAATATTCTTTAAAAAAATCCACGCCTGTAATGGATGGGCCCTGAAAAAATATTCTTTAAAAAATCCACGCCTGTAATGGATGGGCCTTGAAAAAATATTCTTTAAAAAATCTACGCCTGGGATGGCCCTTGAAAAAAAATATTCTTTAAAAAATCCATGCCTGGGATGGCCCTTGAAAAAATATTCTTTAAGAAATCCACGCTTGGGATGGCACTTGAAAGAAAATATTCTTTAAAAAATCCACGCCTGGGATAGCCTTTGAAAAAAAATATTTTTTTAAAAAATCCACGCCTGGGAAGGCACTTGAAAAAAAAGTATTCTTTAAAAAATCCACGCCTGGGATAGCCTTTGAAAAAAAATATTTTTTTAAAAAATCCACGCCTGGGAAGGCACTTGAAAAAAAAGTATTCTTTAAAAAATCCACGCCTGGGATGGCCTTTGAAAAAATATTCTTTAAAAAATCCACGCCTGGGATGGCCTTTGAAAAAATATTCTTTAAAAAATCCACGCCTGGGATGGCCTTTGAAAAAAAATATTTTTTAAAAAATTTACGCCTGGGATGGCACTTGAAAAAAAAAATTCTTTAAAAAATCCATGCCTGGGATGGCCCTTGAAAAAATATTCTTTAAAAAATCCACGCCTGGGATGGCCCTTGAAACAATATTCTTTAAAAATCAACGCCTGGGATGGCCCTTGGAAAAATATTCTTTAAAAAATCCACGCCTGGGATGGCCCTTGAAAAAATATTCTTTAAAAAATCCACGCCTGGGATGGCCCTTGAAAAAATATTCTTTAAAAAATCCACGCCTGGGATGGCCCTTGAAAAAATATTCTTTAAAAAATCCACGCCTGGGATGGCCCTTGAAAAAATATTCTTTAAAAAATCCACGCCTGGGATGGCCCTTGAAAAAATATTCTTTAAAAAATCCACGCCTGGGATGGCCCTTGAAAAAATATTCTTTAAAAAATCCACGCCTGGGATGGCCCTTGAAAAAAATATTCTTTAAAAAATCCACGCCTGGGAAGGCACTTGAAAAAAAAATATTCTTTAAAAAATCCACGCCAGGATAGGCCCTTGAAAAAATATTCTTAAAAAATAAACGCCTGGGATGGCCCTTGAAAAAATATTCTTTAAAAATTCTTGATAAAAAAATACATTTTATTTTCTTGTAATATTTTTATTGCTACACCAGATGTTGCGATAATTCTTATCAGCGAAATTGATTTCAATTTTCGATTTTTTTTCTGTTTCCTGCAGGCATGCCCCGCCTCAAAGGCCAACATGATAAATGTCCATTTGGTGCCACATTCCCATGACGATACGGGCTGGTTGAAGACCGTCGATCAGTACTACTATGGCAGTCGTAATGGCATCCAACATGCTGGGGTTCAATACATTCTGGATAGTGTCATAACCGAGCTGTTGAAAGATAAGAGCAGGCGGTAAGGAGAGGGGGAGGGAATTTTGAAAGAAAAAAAATATTTTAATTGACTACTTGGTTCTCTTCTGTCCCCCAGATTCATTCAAGTTGAATCGGCCTTCTTCTTTAAGTGGTACAATGAGCAAACAGCGGCGGTAAAAAAGAATGTCAAGACCTTGGTCGAGGAGGGACGTCTGGAGTTTACCGGTGGTGCCTGGAGTATGAACGATGAGGCCGCAGTCCACTATCAAAGTGTTATCGATCAGTTTACATTGGGCCTCAAGTAAGTATTTTTGGGGGAGGAGAGGAAATTTTTAAGGCAATGCAATTTTTAATTATTTTTCCGTTCCCCTCAGATCCCTGGCCGATACTTTTGGCAGCTGTGCCCGTCCCCGTATTGGCTGGCAAATCGATCCCTTCGGCCATTCCCGTGAAATGGCCTCGCTTTTTGCTCAAATGGGCTACGATGGCAATTTCTTTGCCCGCATGGATTACATGGAGAAAAATGCTCGCCTCAACAATATGACCGGTGAAATGATATGGAAGGCATCGGAAAATTTGGATGAGAGATCGGAAATTTTCACCGGAGTGCTGTATAATCATTATTCGGCCCCTCCCGGTTTTTGTTTTGATAACCTGTGTTCCGATGATCCCATTATTGATGGTGACAGTTACGAGAATAATGTTAAGGCGAAGGTGGGTGTAGGGAGGGTAGTGGGTAATTTTCGAAGAAATTATGAAATTTTCATATTTTTAGGTTGATGATTTCCTGACCTATATCAACAAAATGGGAACATATTATCGTGCCACCGATTTGCTGGTGCCCATGGGTGATGATTTCAATTATGAAAATGCTTATGTGAATTATAAAAACATGGATAAATTGATCAAGTGAGTATGGACCCCTTTAAAAATTAAAAAAAATAAATAAATAAAATATTAAAAAACAAAAATTCTTTCTAAAAGTATTTTTTTAAAAAAATTTTAAAAACGTCTTCAAAAAAAATTCTAAAAAATCCACGTTCTAAGAACAACTTGGAAAATATTTTTTAAAAAATCCAAATTCTGAGAATTAATTGAAAAAATATTTTTAAAAAAATCCACGTTTTAAGAACTACTTGAAAATTTTTTTTTTAAAAAATCAACGTTTTGAAAAAATATTTTTTTAAAAAATCCACGTTTTAAGAACTACTTGAACATTTTTTTTTAAAAATCCACGTTTTAAGAACTACTTGAAAATTTTTTTTTAAAAAATCCACGTTTTGAAAAAATATTTTTTTAAAAAATTCACGTTTTGAAAAAATATTTTTTAAAAAATCCACGTTTTGAAAAAATATTTTTTAAAAAATGCACTTTTTGAAAAAATATTTTTTATAAATTCCACGTTTTGAAAAATATTTTTTTAAAAAATTCATGTTATAGAAATTACTTGAAAAAATATTTTTCAAAAAATCCACGTTTTGAAAAAATATTTTTTAAAAAATCCACGTTTTGAAAAAATATTTTTTATAAATTCCACGTTTTGAAAAATATTTTTTTAAAAAATTCATGTTATAGAAATTACTTGAAAAAATATTTTTTAAAAAATCCACGTTTTAAGGACTACTTAAAAAAAAAAATTTAAAATTCACGTTTTAAGGACTGCTTAATTTTTTTTTTTAAATTCACGTTTTAAAAACTCCTCGAAAAAATATTTTTAAAAAAATCCACGTTTTAAGAACTACTTGAAGAAATACTTTTTAATAAATCCACGTTCTAAGAACTACTTGGAAAAATATTTTTTAAAAAATCCACGTTATATGAACTACTTGAAAAAATATTTCTTGAAAAATCCATGTTCTAAGAACTACTTGGAAAAATATTTTTTAAAAAATCCACGTTATATGAACTACTTGAAAAAATATTTCTTGAAAAATCCATGTTCTAAGAACTACTTGAAAAAATATTTTTTTAAAAAAATACACATTTTAACACACTGAAAAAAATAAATAAAAAATCCACGTTCCAAAAACTAATTGAAAAAACATTTTTTTAAAAAAATCCACGTTCCTTAAACTACACGAAAAATATTTTTTAAAAAAACCCAGGTTGAAAATAGTATATTTTTTAATTTTTTTTTTTAAATACGTTTTAAAAACAACTAAAGTAAATATAGTCTTTAAAAAATCAACGTTTTATATATAACTTTCAAAATATTTTCCAAAAAATTAAAAGTCTCTGAAGTAACTTTAATTTTTTTCTCAAATCCATGTCAGAGTTCTTGGGGATCATTCAAAAAATCGTATAAAATGTCCAAACTTAGAGTCCTTGGAGGGTCATTCAAAAGTCCTTTGAAAAAAAAAAAAAATATTCAAAAATTATTTGAACAATCTATGTTAAGAGTCCTTAAAAGTTCTTGGAGGATCATTTGAAAATGCTTTGAAAATTTTTACACAATTTTTTACACAATCCACGTTTATAACCCATAAAAAACCGCACATAGAATCCTTGTAGGATCATTCAAACATTCTTTGAAAAATTTACATTTAGAGTCCTTGAAGGATCACTCAAAATTTCTTTGAAAAATCCACGTTTTGAGTCCATATTAGATCATTCAAAAATTCTATGAACAATACATGTTTTAAGTCTTTACAAAATTTTTAAAAAATCACGGTTTGAGTCCTTAAAAAATTCTTAAAAAATCAAGGTTTGAGTCCTTAAAAAAATTTTAAAAATCCACGTTTTGAGCCCCTAAAAACTTATTTAAAAAAATCACGTTTTGAGTCCTTAAAAAAATCTTAAAAATCCACGTTTTGAGCCCCTAAAACTTCTTTAAAAAATCTACGTTTAGAGTCCTTGGAAGATCATTCCAAAAACAAATTTAGATTCCGTGAAGTATTTTTGAAAAATTCTTTAAAAATCCACGCTTAGAGTCCTTGGAAGATCATTCCAAAAACAAATTTAGATTCCGTGAAGTATTTTTGAAAAATTCTTTAAAAAATCCACGTTTATGGCGCTCGAAGTATTTTTAAAAAAATCTTTAAAAAATCTACGTTTATGGCGCTCGAAGTATTTTTAAAAAATTCTTTAAAAAATCAACGTTTAGAGCCCTCGAAGTATTTTTAAAAAAATCTTTAAAAAATTCCACGTTTAGAGCCCTCGAAGAATTTTTGAAAAAAAAAAATTAAAAATCCACGTTTAGAGCCCTCGAAGTATTTTTGAAAAATTCTTTTAAAAATCCACGTTTAGAGTACTTGAAGTATTTTTGAAAAAAAAAAAAATTAAAAAATCCACGTTTAGACCCATCGAATTATTTTTAAAAAAATTTTAAAAAAAAATCCATGTTTAGAGCCCTAGAAGTATTTTTGAAAAATTCTTTAAAAAATCCATGTTTAGGGCCCTCGAAGTATTTTTGAAAAATTCTTTAAAAAATCCACGTTTAGAGCCCTCGACGTATTTTTTCTGATTTTTTAATGCCCATTTAGAGCCCTCGAAGTATTTTTAAAAAAATTCTTTAAAAAATCCACGCTTGGAGCCCTCGACGTGTTTTTCTGATTTTTTTAATGCCCATTTAGAGCCCTCGAAGTAATTTGAAAACAAAAATCTTAAAAATATCCACGTTTCGAGTCCTTGAAGTATTTTTGAAAAATTATTTAAAAAATTCCACGTTTAGTATTTTTAGTGTAGTATTTTTAAAAAATTGTTTAAAAAATCCACGATTCGAGTCCTTGAAGTAATTTTGAATAATTCTTTAAAAAATCCACGATTCGAGTCCTTGAAGTAATTTTGAAAAATTCCTTAAAAAATTCCACGTTTAGAGCCATTGAAGTAATTTTGAAAAATTCTTTAAAAAATCCACGTTTAGAAGCCTTGAAGTATTTTTGAAAAAATCTTTAAAAAATCCACGTTTAGAGGCCTTGAAGTATTTTTGAAAAAATCTTTAAAAAATCCACGTCTGGAGACCTCGAAGTATGTTTGAAAAATTCTTTAAAATATCCACATTTAGAGCCCTCGAAGTATTTTTGAAAAATGCTTAAAAAAATTCCACGTTTAGAGCCATTGAAGTATTTTTTGAAAAATGTTTTAAATATTCGACCCCTCTCTTCTCCTCCAGATACGTCAATCAACGCCAACTGCAAGGTGGCAAAGTGAATGTCTTCTACTCAACCCCTGCCTGCTATCTGAACGCCCTCCACAACGACAACAAGACATGGCCTACCAAGACCCAAGATTTCTTCCCCTATTCCACGGATTGGCATACCTATTGGACGGGCTACTACAGCTCCCGCCCCACCCAAAAACGTTTCGAACGTGATGGCAATCATTTCCTACAGGTGGCCAAACAATTGACCACAATGGCGAACTTGACGACCACGGCGGCTTTTGCCAATCTCGATACCCTACGTCAGGCCATGGGCATCATGCAACATCATGATGCTGTAACTGGTACTGAGAAGCAACATGTGGCCCAGGACTATGATCGTATGCTGACCAAGGCCATTAATGTTGCCGAGACCAATACCCGTGATGCCTTGCGCAAACTTACCAATCTAACCAATGGTGAATTTGTCAGTTGCCTCCAATTGAATTTGAGCATCTGTGAGGTTAGCCAATGGAGTCCCAATAATTTGGTCGTAACCGTGGTCAATCCCTTGGCTCATCCCTCGACACAATATGTCCGAATTCCTGTGAAGAATGGTACCTACATTGTCACCGATGCAACGGGACGTCAAGTTAAATCGGATGTTGTACCAGTGCCTAAAGAACTGATTGACCTGACCCATTTGAGACCTAATGCCTCTCAACATGAATTGGTATTTTCTGCATATGCGGATAAGATTGCCAATTATTATATCAAGGTTCAGCCGCAACCACGCGAATTTGATGAAGAAATCCAAAGGAATGAAATTAAATTGCCCAAGAGATTCTTGAGACAGCATTTGACGAAGTTGGAGGTGGCGCCGGCCAGTGAGACAATTGAACCCATGGCTGTGGGAGATGTTGTGGTACAGAATTCGGTAAGTTTTTTTCCTATACAAATTTTTTAAAAAATCCACATTTAAGATGCTTGAAGAATCCTTTCAAAATTCATTAAAAAATCCACGTTTAAGATCCTTGAAGTATCCTTTCAAAATTCTTTAAAAAAATCGACGTTTTTAGATCCTTGAAGGATCCTTTAAAAAGTCCAAATTTAAGATCCTTGAAGGATCCTTTAAAAATTCTTTAAAAAAACCACGTTTTAAGATCCTTGAAGGATCCTTTAAAAATTCTTTAAAAAAACCACGTTTTAAGATCCTTGAAGGATCCTTTAAAAAAGTTTTAAAAAAATCCACTTTTAAGATCCTTAAAGGATGCTTTAAAAATTCTTTGAAAATTCCACGTTTAAGATCCTTGAAGGATATTTTAAAAAATCTTTAAAAAATCCACGTTTAAGATCCTTGAAGGATCTCTTAAAAATTCTTTAAAAAATCCACGTTTAAGATCCTTGAAGGATCTTTTAAAAATTCTTTAAAAAATCCACGTTTAAGATCCTTGAAGGATATTTTAAAAATTCTTTAAAAATCCACGTTTAAGATCCTTGAAGGATCCTTTAAAAATTCTTTAAAAAATCCACGTTTTAGATCCTTGAAGGATCTTTTAAAAATTCTTAAAAAAATCCACGTTTAAGATCCTTGAAGAATCCTTTAAAAATTCTTTAAAAAATCCACATTTAAGATCCTTGAAGGATCCTTTAAAAATTTTTTAAAAAATCCACGTTTAAGGTCCTTGAAGAGTCCTTTAAAAATTCTTTAAAAAATCCACGTTTAAGATCCTTGAAGGATCCTTTAAAAAAATCTTTAAAAAATCCACGTTTAAGATCCTTGAGGGATCCTTTAAAAAATTCTTTAAAAAATCCACGTTTAAGATCCTTGAAGGATCCTTTAAAAAATTCTTTAAAAAATCCACGTTTAAGATCCTTGAAGGATCCTTTAAAAAATTCTTTAAAAAATCCACGTTTAAGATCCTTGAAGGATCCTTTAAAAATTCTTTAAAAAATCCACGTTTAAGATCCTTGAAGGATCCTTTAAAAATTCTTTAAAAAATCCACGTTTAAGATCCTTGAAGGATCCTTTAAAAAATTCTTTAAAAAATCCAGGTTTAAGATCCTTGAAGGATACTTTAAAAATTCTTTAAAAAATCCCCGTTTGGGATCCTTGAAGGATACTTTAAAAATTCTTTAAAAAATCCACGTTTAAGATCCTTGAAGGATACTTTAAAAATTCTTTAAAAAATCCACGTTTAAGATCCTTGAAGGATACTTTAAAAATTCTTTAAAAAATCCACGTTTAAGATCCTTGAAGGATACTTTAAAAATTCTTTAAAAAATCCACGTTTAAGATCCTTGAAGGATACTTTAAAAAGTCTTTAAAAAATCCACGTTTTTAGATCCTTGAGGGATCCTTTAAAAATTCTTTAAAAAATCCAGGTTTAAGATCCTTGAAGGATCCTTTAAAAATTCTTTAAAAAATCCAGGTTTAAGATCCTTGAAGCATCGGTTAAAAAATCTACATTAAAATCCTTGAAGGATTTTTTAAAAATTCTTTAAAAAATCCACGTTTGGAATCCTTGAAGGGTCCTTTAGAAATTCTTTTAAAAATCCATGTTTGGAATCCTCGAAGGATCCTTTAAAAATTTTTTAAAAATCCACCCTTTAGATCCTTGAAGGGTTATTCAAAAATTCTCTAAAAAATAAATTCCCCCCTCTCCCTTTTCTTTGCAGCAAATCAAGTTGACCTTCAATAGCAATGGTATTTTGTACAACGTCCAAATGAACGGCATTTCCGAAGATATCACCCAGCAATTCTTCTACTACAAGGGTGCCTATGGCAACAATGCCGAGTTCAAGAATCGCTCATCGGGGGCCTATATTTTCCGTCCCAATGGCACTGAGATTTTGATTGGCACCAAAGCTAATCTGACCATTGTCAATGGCAGCCTGGTCAAGGAGGTGCATCAACGTTTCACCGATTGGGTGTCGCAGGTTATACGCATATACGAGGGCATTAATCGTGTCGAATTTGAATGGCTTGTGGGACCCATACCCATTCAGGATAATATCGGCAAGGAAGTCATCACTCGTTTTACATCGAACCTAAAGAATTCAGGAGTATTCTACACCGATTCGAATGGCCGTGAAATGTTGCGACGCGTACGCAATCAACGGGAGTATTTCAAACCCAATATGACGGAAAGTGTTTCAGGAAATTATTATCCCATTACCTCGCGCATTGCCTTGGAGTCGAGCACCAGACGTATGGCCCTGCTCAATGATCGGGCCCAAGGTGGCTCTAGCCTCAAGGATGGTGCCTTGGAGTTGATGTTACATCGTCGCCTGTTGCGTGATGATGCCTTCGGTGTGGGTGAGGCCCTCAACGAAACTGTCAACGGCAAAGGTTTGGTGGCCCGCGGCAAAGTCTATCTCATGCTCAGCACCGTGTCGAAGATAAGCACCACCAATGAACGTCTGGCTGAACGTGAAATTCATTTGCCATTCTGGAAATTCTTTAGCAATGCCACCAAGGCCACCAATAAGGTTTTACCACGTATTCCCACCTTTACCTCACTGCCGATTGGCATAGATGTCCTAACCCTGGAACCATATTCGACCAATGAACGTCTCCTGCGTTTGGAATATTTCTTCAATAAAAACGAGACATCCAGTTTGACATTTAATATTCGCAGCATATTCGATGCCTTGGGTGGTACGGAAATCCGTGAAACCACCTTGGATGGAAATTTGGCTTTGGGCAGCATGAACCGCTTCAAATTCCACCCAGATGGCACTGTACCCAAGAAAGTTGAGTATTACAAATCGAAGCATACTCCTTTGGCGGCCGTTCAAAAGGATGCCGTGTCTAAATTCCAAATTACCATGGATCCAATGCAAATTCGCACCTTCATTGTTAAGTGGAAATAAATTCGAATTCATTTTAGGATTCAAAAATAAATTTTAAAAAAATTTCAGGACTACAAAAAAATGTTTTTTATTTAAAAAAAAAAAAATTAAAAAAAAAAATTATTTAGAGCATTATTCTTTAAATATTTATTTCATCAAAATACCGAAAATCGGGAGGTACCGTTACAGGGAGGCTATACGAAGACGTGAACCTGCACGGACAATTTTCTGTCCTAGGCTGTAATATCCATTTCGGCTGTAATATCCATTTCAACTACCAAATTTGAAACAATTCCGGAGAATAATGTCGCTTAAAAGTAAATAAGCGAAGAATGGCTCGTAACCTGAACATATCGCAATATTCCATTCGGTTTAGAGATGGCCGTCCGTCTGTGGAAATCACTCTAGCGTCCGAATGAAATGAAGTAGGTTGATAAAATTTTACTCAAATGTGTATTATGTCTGCAGGACTCTTGGTATTGAATGTAGGCCATGTAGGTCCACGTCTTCATATAGCCCCCATTTAAAGGTACCTCCAGATATTCGGTATTTTGATGATTTAAGGAACATTATTTACAGGAATTGTTTCAAATTTGATATTTGAAGTTGAAAATAGATACTAAATCCCAACACAGAAAATGAGCCATGTAGGTCAACGTCTTCGTATAGCCCCCATATAACGGTACCTCCCGGTATTCGGTATTTTGATGATTTTAGCGACATTATTTACCGGAATTGTTTCAAATTTGGTATTTGAAGTTCGAAATAGATACTACATCCCAATATAGAAAATTAGCCATGTAGGTCCACGTCTTCGTATAGCCCCCATTAAACGGAACCCCCGATATTCGGTATTTTGATGATTTTAGCGGCATTATTAACCGGAGTTTTTTAAAATTTGGTATTTGAAGTTCCAACGGGATAGTACAGCCTAAGACAAAAAATGGGATATGTAGGTCCCCGTCTTCGTATAGCCCCCATTTAAAGGTACCTCCCGATATTCGGAATTTTGATGATTTAAGCTACATTATTTACCGGAATTGTTTCAAATTTGGTATTTGAAGTTAGAAATAGATACTACATCACAACACAGAAAATGAGCCATGTAGGTCCCCGTCTTCGTATAGCTCCCATATAACGGTACCTCCCGATATGCGGTATTTGGATGATTTTGAGAACATTATTTACCGGAATTGTTTCAAATTTGGTATTTAAAGTTCCAAAGGGATAGTACAGCCTAAGACATAAAATTGTCTGTGCAGGCCCACGTCTTCGCATAGCCCCCATTTAAAGGTACCTCCCGATATTCGGTATTTTGATGATTTTGGCGTCATTATTCACCGGAATTTTTTCAAATTTGGTATTTGAAGTTCGTAATGGGTACTACAGCCTATGGCAGAAAACTGATAGTGCAGGTCCACGTCTTCGTATAGCCCCCATTTAAAGGTACCTCCCCATATGCGGTATTTTGATGATTTTAGCGACATTATTTACCGGAGTTGTTGAAAATTTGGTATTTGAAGTTCGTAATAGATACTACACCCTAAGACAGAAATTTGTCTGTGCAGGTCCACGTCTTCGTATAGCCCCCATGTATATGTACCTCCCTATATTCGTTATTTTGATGATTTAAGCGACATTATTCACCGGAATTGTTTCAAATTTGATATTTGAAGTTCCAAAGGGATAGTACAGCCTAAGACAGAAAATTGTCTGTGGCAGTCCACGTCATCATATAGCCCCCATATACCGGTACCTCCCGATATTAGGTATTTTGATGATTTTAGCGACATTATTTACCGGAATTATTTCAAATTTGGTATTTGAAGTTCCAACGGGATAGTACAGCCTAAGACAGAAAATTGTCTGTGCAGGTCCATGTCTTCGTATAGCCCCCATATAACGGTACCTCCCGATATTGGGTATTTTGATGATTTTAGAGACATTATTACACGGAATTCTTTCAAACTTGTTATTTGAAGTTCGTAATGGATAGTACACCCTAAGACAGGAAATGGGCCATGTGGGTCCACGTCTTCGTATAGCCCCATATATCGGTACCTCCCGATATTCGGTATTTTGATGATTTAAGCGATATTATTTACCGGAATTGTTTCAAAATTGGTATTTAAAGTTCGTAATAGATACTACATCCTAACACAGAAAATGACCCATGTAGGTCCACGTCTTCGTATAGCCCCCATATATCAGTACCTCCCTATATTCGATATTTTGATGATTTTTGCGTCATTATTCACCGGAATTGTTTCAAATTTGGTATTGGTTGTACGTAATATATACTACGGCCACAGACAGAAAATGGGCGATGTAGGTCCACGTCTTCGTATAGACCCCATATAACTGTACCTCCCTATATTCGGTATTTCGATGATTTTAACGACATTATTTACCGGAGTTGTTTCAAATTTGGTATTTAAAGTTCGAAATAGATACTACATCCCAGCACAGGAAATGACCCATGTAGGTCCACGCCTTCGTATAGCCCCCATATAACGGTACCTCCCGATATGCGGTACTTGGATGATTTTGGGGACATTATTTACGGGAATTGTTTCAAATTTGGTATTTGAAGTTCGAAATAGATACTACATCCCAACACAGAAAATGAGCCATATAGGTCAACGCCTTCGTATAGCCCCCATATACCGGTACCTCCCGATATTCGGTATTTTGATGATTTTAGCGAATTTATTTACCGGAATTGTTTCAAATTTGGTATTTGAAGTTCGAAATAGATACTACATCCCAACACAGAAAATGAGCCATATAGGTCAACGCCTTCGTATAGCCCCCATATACCGGTACCTCCCGATATTCGGTATTTTGATGATTTTAGCGACATTATTTACCGTAATTGTTTCAATTTTGGTATTTGAAGTTGGAAATAGATACTACATCCCAACACAGAAAATGAGCCATGTAGGTCCACGCCTTCGTATAGCCCCCATTTAAAGGTACCTCCCGATATTCGGCATTTTGATGATTTCAGCGACATTATTAACCGGAATTGTTTGAAATTTGGTATTTGAAGTTCGAAATAGATACTACAACCCAACGTAGAAAATGAGCCATGTACGTCCACGCCTTCGTATAGCCACCATTTAAAGGTACCTTCCGATATTCGGTATTTTGATGATTTTAGCGAAATTAGTCACCCGAATTCTTTCATTTTTGGTATTTGAAGTTCGTAATGGATACTTCAGCCGGTGACAGAAAATTGTATGTGCAGGTCCACGTCTTCATATAGCCCCCATTTAAAGGTACCTCCCGATATTCGGTATTTTGATGATTTTAGCGACATAATTTACCGGAATAGCTTCATAATTGGCATTTAAAGTTCGTTAGATACTACGGCCAAAAACAGAAAATGGGCCATGTAGGTCCACGCCTTCGTATAGACCCCATATAACTGTACCTCCCTATATTCGGTATTTCGATGATTTTAAAGACATTATTTACCGGAGTTGTTTCAAATTTGGTATTTGAAGTTCAAAATAGATACTATATCCCAGCACAGAAAATGAGCCATGTAGGTCCACGCCTTCGTACAGCCCCCATATAACGGTACCTCCCGATATGCGGTATTTGTATAATTTTGGGGACATTATTTACGGGAATTGTTTCAAATTTGGTATTTGAAGTTCGTAATGGATACTACATCCCAACACAGAAAATGAGCCATATAGGTCCACGTCTTCATATAGCCCCCATATAACGGTACCTCCCGGATATTCGGTATTTTAATGATTTAAGCGACATTATTTACCGGAGTTGTTTAAAATTTGATATTTGAAGTTCGTAATAGATACTACAGCCTAAGACAGAAAATTGTCTCTGCAGGTCCACGTCTTCGTATAGCCCCCATATAACGGTGCCACCCCATATTCGGTACTTTGATGATTTTAGCGACATTATTTACCGGAATTGCTTCAAATTTGGTATTTGAAGTTCGAAATAGATACTACATCCCAACACAGAAAATGAGCCATGTAGGTCCACGTCTTCGTATAGCCCCCATTAAACGGTACCCCCCGATATTCGGTATTTTGATGATTTAAGCGACATTATTTACCGAAATTGTTTCAAAATTGGTATTTAAAGTTCGCAATGGATACCAAAAACAGAACATGGGCGATGTAGGTCCACGTCTTCGTATAGCCCCCATATAAAGGTACCTCCCGATATTCGATATTTTGATGATTTAAGCGATATTATTTACCGGAATTGTTTCAAAATTGGTATTTAAAGTTCGTAATAGATACTACATCCCAACACAGAAAATTAGCCATGTAGGTCCACGCCTTCGTATAGTCCCCATATAACGGTACCTCCCGATATTCGGTATTTTGATGATTTAAGCGACATTATTTACCGGAATTTTTTCAAATTTGGTATTTGAAATTGGAAATAGATACTACATCCCAACACAGAAAATGAGCCATGTAGGTCCACGTCCTCGTATAGCCCCCCTATATCTGTACCTCCTTATATTCGGTATTTTGATGATTTAAGCAACATTGTTTACCGGAATTGTTTCAAATTTGGTATTTGAAGTTCGTAATGGATGCTACGACTAAAGACAGAAAATGGGCCATGTAGGTCCTCGCCTTCGTATAGCCCCCATATAACGGTACCTCCCGATTTGTGGTATTTTGATGATTTTAGCGACATTATTTACCAGAATTGTTTCAAATTTGGTATTTGAAGTTGAAAATAGATACTAAATCCCAACACAGAAAATGAGCCATGTAGGTCAACGTATTCGTATAGCCCCCATATAACGGTACCTACCGGTATTCGGTATTTTGATGATTTTAGCGACATTATTTACCGGAATTGTTTCAAATTTGGTATTTGAAGTTCGTAATGGATACTACAGCCTAAGACTGAAAATTATCTGTGCAGGTCCACGTCTTCGTATAGCCCCCATATATCAGTACCTCGCTATATTCGGTATTTTAATGATTTAAGCGACAATATTCATCGGAATTGTTTAAAATTTGGTATTTGAAGTTCGTAATGGATGCTACAGCCTAAGACAGAAAATTGTCTGTGCAGGTCCACGCCTTCGTATAGCCCCCATATAACGGTACCTCCCGATATTCGATATTTTGATGATTTAAGCGACATTATTTAACGGAATTGATGCAAATTTGGTATTTGAGTTTCGTAATGGATACTACAGCCTAAGATAGAAAATTGTCTGTGCAGGTCCACGCCTTCGTATAGCCCCCATATATCAGTACCTCCCTATATTCGGTATTTTGATGATTTTATCTACATCATAAACAGATTTTTCTTCAAGTTTCGCATTTAAATATTGTAATAACTTATGACAAAAGTTGTCTATGCAGGTCCACGTCGTCGTATAGGCATTCGGTATTTTTAAGATTTCAAAAGAATTTTTTACAGATTTTATTTTTTTATTTATTTATTTATTTATTTATTTTTTTTTTTTTTTTTTGGAAATTGCCAAATTTGTACCAAATGGTTGAGGGTCTTAAAAGTTCGGCCGATCCGAACTTACAGCTTTTTACTGGTTAAAATTAAAAGAGAATTTTTTAATAATTTTATTTTTTGAAAATTTCCATATTCATTGCAAATGGTGGAGGGTATTCAAAGTTCGGCCCGGCCGAACTTAGCTGTTTTTTACTTGTTTTTATCTCACCCTGTATTGCCTTACCTCAAATTTCCGATCATAAAAAAACTTCCAAAATTAAATGACAAGGAAAAAAATCTATTTCTTTTATTTTGCAATGCTTTTCATTTTAACAACAAGTCGACAAAGAGAGGCCAATTTCTCGCGCTCTCTCTCTCTCTCTCTGACTCTCTTAAAAACAATTTGATAAAGAGTTAAGCTCTTAGAGTAGTTAGTGTAAAGAGATTTGGTGATAAATATAATTTGTTTAATTAATTAATTAATTCTTTAGAAGAATATTAACATAGCTGTAGATCTAGACTACCCTATAAATATAAAAAAATAACTATTTTTTAAACATTTATGTGCGTATGAAATTTACTACAAAAACAAAAATTTATAAAAAATTAAGAAATTTAATTGAGCAATATTTTTTTAGTTTTTCGATTTCTGTTTTTGGATCAAAGGCACTTCCTTAGAATGTAAAGAGCAAATATTTCCTTAAAAAAAAATTAACTAAAATTTTATTTTGAGCTAAACTATGTTTCCTACTCTCCATATGGCTTAAGACTAACACCTAAAGCAAGCGAAAAATGTTCGATAGGAGCAGGGGGAAATTTTTCTTCTCTTCCTCTCTTGGGATTTGAGTGAAGGCTCCAACCCATGTTGATATTTTCCCCCTGGCCCCTTGGATAAGACTTAAAATTATTTCCTTAAAAAAATTATATTTGATTCCCATTCACAACAAAAGGCAATAAAGGCACTTAGGACCCCCCTCAAACTGGGGTGGGATAACTGGTCAATTGGTCTATTTTAAAAATCGGCATCCCAACCGGATAGTTCATCTGGTGGCTCATTTGGATCACAGGGGAACTTATCAAAGTAGCAGGTGTCTGTGGGATGGGCAATGGGTCGCACAAAGGGTGGTATGAGCAGCTGGTCCTGCAAGCCATCCCAATCAAAGCCCAGGAACCATCTAGAAAAAAAAAAGTTGGAAATTAAAAATTCAAGGCTAGGAGGCCCCTCTTTCATTTCATACTTATGTTTTTTGATATCTTGTATGCCACCCTTTTGATAGCCCAAACGTTCGGCAGGGACATCACGACATAACTTCTTTATTAGCTGCACCGCTGAGCGGGACATGCGCTTGGGAAAGTCAATCATATCAATGCCCTTGAGGATGATGTTATAGGTCTTCATGGGATCATTGGCGGCAAAGGGTGGTCTAAGAACAAAAAAAAAAAAAAATACAAATTATTTCCGATTTCTAACAGGGCTTGGCAATCCTGACTTACGTTCCATTCAACAGCTCATGAATCAAAATACCCAAGGCCCAATAATCCACAGCCCGATCATGACCCTTATTCAATATAATTTCAGGGGCCACATATTCCGGGGTACCACAAAATGTCCAGGTTTTACAGCTATTGCCAATGTATTTGGCAAAGCCAAAGTCCACCTGAAAAAATCCCATAACATTTACCCCAAACTTCCACCCAAGTAAACCCTTCCCTTCCCCACTTACCAACTTCACATACCCCCTCTCGTCCAACATCAAATTCTCCGGCTTCAAATCCCTATAGATAATACCCTTCGAATGCAAATACTCAAATGCCTGCAGCACGCAGCCGATTATAAACTGGGCAGCGTTTTCATCGAAACAACCGCGATCCCTTAGCATTGTCCAAATTTCACCACCCATACAGGCCTCGAGCAGCATATACACGTATTTTTCATCACGGAATGTCCGATAGAGACGGCATATAAATGGTGAGTTGCAGGTCAGCATAATCGTTCGCTCAGAGAAGACATGCTCTTCCTGTTTGGTATCGACAATGTGCCGTTTCTTGAGACACTTGAGGGCAAATGTGTCCACACGGTCTTGGTGATAGGCCTTGACCAGTTCCACTCGCCCAAAACCACCAATACCCAAGGTGGCAATGACCTCCAAATCGGTCAGCTGCAGATCGGGGAATTCTGAAAATAGAGAATTGGAAAAATTTAGATGTAACCTACATTTAAGCTATGAGGGGAGCGGTAGTAATTCATAGTCAAATTCAGCTAGTCTGCATACACTCTCGGACCCGCTAGCTCAACGGTACAGATAATGTGACCTGCCATATTTTCGGCACAGAAAGCTACGTCAGCCAACTTAACGCTCCAGAAAGCCAGGCTCGCCAAGTTATCAGCACAGAGAGCCAGGCCAACAATCTCATCGATGCAGAGAGTTAGGCCAGGCCGCTCTTCGGTGTAAAGAGTTAGTTCCGCCAGCTCATCAGTACAGAGGATTAGGCCAACAAGTTTATTGGTGCAAAGAGCTTGGCTCTCTAGCTCATCGGTGCTTAGAGCCTAGCAAGCCAGTTTGTCGTACGATGTTCCTGACCAGCCAAATTGTCAGTTTAGAGAGCCTGGTTAGCCAGCCCTTCGGTATAGAGAGACAGACCAGCCAACTCTTCAGAAAACAGATTAAGGTAGGTCAGCTTATATGTCGATCAGATAGATCTTCGGTACCGTGCATTAGACCAGCAAGATATGTGGTACAAGAAGTTAGTCTTGCCAACTCTTCAGTGCAGAGAGTTGGGCTAGCCTCTTCGGTACAGTGAGTTAGGCCCGCCAACTTGTCGGTACACAGAGTTAATCCAGCCAGCATATCTGTACAAAGAGATTAACCAGCTAACTCTTCAGTATGTAGAGTTATGCCAGGTAGATCTTCGGTACATTGAGCCATGGCCGCCAGATCTCCATTACAAAGAATTAGGGTAGTCAACTTTACGGTACAGAGAATTAATCCAGCCAGCATATCTGTAGAAAGAGATTGGTCAGCTAAGTCTTCAGTATGTAGAGTTATGCCAGATAGATCTTCGGTACATTGAGTCAGGACTGTCAGCTCACCGGTTCAGAAAGTCAAACCAGCTATCTTGTCAGTGCAGAAGATCTGGCTTCCTAGCTCATCAGTACATAGAGTTAGGCCATCCAGCACTACCGCCCAGTGAGTTAGTTCAGCCTGATTATTTGTAGAAAGAGCTTGGCCAGCCAGCTCTTCAGTAGAGAGAGTTGGGCATGACAGATCTTTAGTATATTGAGACAGGCCAGTCAGCTCAACGGTTCAGAAAGTCAAGCCAGCTATCTTGTCAGTACAGAAAATCTGGCCCCCTAGCTCATCTGTACAAAGAGTTAGGCCAGCTAGCACTACCGGCCCGAGAGTTAGTCCAGCCAGATTATTTTTAGAAAGAGCTTGGCCAGCCAGCTCTTCAGTACAGAGAGTAGGGCGTGACAGATCCTCAGAACATTGTGATAGGCCAGCCAGATCTTCGATGCATTGAGTCAGGCCAGTCAGTTCATAGGTTCAGCAAGCAAGGTTAGTTATCTCGTCAGTATAGAAAATCTGGCCTCCTAGCTTATCTGTACATAGAGTTAGGCCAGCCAGATCTTCGCTACGGAGAGTTAGTCCTGCCAGCTTTTCTGTTCAGAAAGTTAAACCGGCCAGCTCTTCGATACGGAAAGCTAGGCCTGCCAGCTCTTCAGTACAGAGAGTTAGGCATCACAGATCCTCAATATATTGAGACAGGTCAGCCAGATCTTCGATGCATTGAGTAAGTCCAGTCAGTTCATAGGTTCAGAAAGCAAGGTTAGCTTTCTCATTAGTACTGAAAATTTGGACTCCAAGCTCATCTGTACAAAGAATTAGGCCAGCCAGATCTTCGGTACGGAGAGTTAGTCCTGCTAGATCTTCCTTTCAGAAAGATAGACCAGCCAGCTCTTCGATACGGAAAGCTAGGCCTGCCAGCTCTTCAGTACAGAGAGTTAGGCATCACAGATCCTCAATATATTGAGACAGGTCAGCCAGATCTTCGATGCATTGAGTAAGTCCAGTCAGTTCATAGGTTCAGAAAGCAAGGTTAGCTTTCTCATTAGTACTGAAAATTTGGACTCCAAGCTCATCTGTACAAAGAATTAGGCCAGCCAGATCTTCGGTACGGAGAGTTAGTCCTGCTAGATCTTCCTTTCAGAAAGATAGACCAGCCAGCTCTTCGATACGGAAAGCTAGGCCTGCCAGCTCTTTTGTACAGAGAGTTAGGCATGACAGATCCTTAGTATATTGAGACAGGCCAGCCAGATCTTCGATGCATTGGGTTAGGTTCAGAAAGCTAGGTTAGCTATCTCGTCAATATAGAAAATCTGGCCTCCCAGCTCATATGTACAAATAGTAAGGCCAGTCAGATCTTCGATACAGAGAGTTAGGCCAACCAACCCTTCGGTACAGAGAGAATATCCAGCCAGCATATCTGTAGAAAGAGCTTGGTAGCTCTTCAGTTGGTAGAGTTATTCCGATTCAGTTGGTAGAGTTATTCCGGTCAGCTCTTCAGTACGGAGCCAGTCAGGCTTGACAGATTTTCAGTACAGTGAGATAGGCGCCCCCAGATCTTCGGTACAGTGCGCCAGGCCAGACAGCTCATCGACGCAGAAAGAAAGGCCTTCTATCACTGCAGTACAGAAAATCTGGGCACCCAGTTCATCTGTAAAAAAAAGTTACGACAGCCAGAATACAGAAAGGTAGACCAGCAAGCTCTTCGGTACAGGTAGTTAGGCCAGCCAACTCCTCGGTACGGAGAATTAATTCGGTCACATATCTGTAGAAAGAGCTTAGCCAGCCAGCTCTTCAGTACATAAAGTTAGGCCAGTCAGTTCTTCGGAACAGAGAGTTTGACCAGGTAACTCTTTGGTACAGAAAGTCAGGCCAGCTATATCGTCAGTACAGAATATCTGGCCACCCAGCTCATCTGCAGAAAGAGCTTGGCCAGTCAACTTTTCGGTACAGAGGGCAGCCACCACTTCAGCACAGAGAGTTAGGCCTGTCAACTCTCTGCAAAGAATTAGGCAATCAAACTTGTCTGTGAAGACTATGTAACCTGCCATTTCGCCGATAGAGACTCAGTGGCCGTCCAGCTCTCCAAAACAGGCTTAGGAGCCGGTCAGCTTATCGCCACATACTCAGCGGTAGTTTGTCGGAACAGATTCAGCGGTCGACCATATTTTTTTCAGAGTAAATTTTCCGTACAGACTCAACGGAATGACATCTTGTCCCTACAGATTCATCAGACAGCCATCATGTCTCCACTAAATAAATGGCCTGTCAGTTTACCGACGTCGACTCAGTGTCCCGACGGTTTGTCCACACGAACTCTGTAGTCAGCTAACTTGCCCATACTGATTCTGTAACCAAGCAACGTGTCGTACAGTATCTCAGCCTATCCAGTTTCGTTCGCAGTGGGTGCCTTTGATCCGGGTCAGCTGGACCATACAGACTCCTTGGCCACCATATTCACCCCTACATACTCCCCAGCATATCCCCTTTCCAACTTACCTTGCTGAACATTAGCGCCAAATATCTCCTTCGTTTTCTCGGCATGTTTCATGGCCAAGACACGATTTTCATCGCCATAGTTTTTCTCCTTCAGTTCGCAGAGGTCACCAATTAAATGGGTAAATGAATCTCTATCCAGAGTCAGGCATTCAACACCCGGAGCCATGGCAATGATGTTGGCCGTGCGCTTGTCTTCGTTGATCAAAGCTTGCTCGCCAAAATAATCACCACGCTCCAGGGTGCGTATCTCCTTCTCCTCACCGGCAGGAGTAAGTTTCTGTGTCACCTTCACTGAGCCTTGGGAGATGAGGAAGAAGGTATCGCCGCTGGCTCCCTGGCGTATGATGTAGGTCCCTGCGGGATAAAATTCCTGGGAGGGAGATGGAAAATTAAGCATTGATTTCAAGGGATTTTTTCTGGGAACGCAAATAAAACTTACCACCTCCAAGACATCGGCAATTTTGGCTAGAATCTCCTCGCTGAGATTCTTGAGCAGGGGAACGGACTTCAGGAAATTAACACTGTTCTCAATGCGTTGCATGCCGGTACGCATCATGATCTGTTGGAAAATACGACGATCCAAAACCCAAACTCTGGCATCGGATAGCACCCGCACCGAAGCTGTGCGCGTGCAGTTATAGAGTATGGCCAGTTCTCCGAAAGCCTTGCCGGGACCCATAACGCCCAACACTTTGCCATTCTTTTCCACCTCAAATTCACCCTCTGCCGAAACATAGAGATGCGCACCCACCTCTCCTTCACGTATCACAAATTTACCCTTTGGAATGCTTACGGAATACATCGAATCAACAAGCTCTCGTACCTGCGAGGCGTCAATGTTTTTGAGGAAATCATTGTCCATGATGGCATCCTTGATTAGCTGTTTACTGGCAAAATCCTTGTCATACTTCGGTATGGGTACATTGATATTCTGCTGCATTGAAGTCTCACAACTTTCACCCGATACACCCTGTTTCTTGAGCACCGGCTGGCTAGAAGCTAAAGCTAAGATTTTATTTTTTACGGCACCACCTGCAGCACCGCCGTTTGTTTCGGGATTTTCTGCCTTCGGGGAATCTTTGGATTCCTCTGGATTACGTTCAGCCGGTGTCCAGGTTTCAGAAGTTGTACCAGTGGAAGCTGAGCGCGATTGACACGATTGATATTGTTCCGAAATGGAAGAGTCAACGGAACTGCCATTGCTGTCCGAAGAGACTTTGGTATCTGTCGACGCTGTCGCTGGAGTTTGTGGAGCTATTTCGGGTATGACAGGGATCCGTGGATCCAATAGTTTTCTGCATTTCTCACACAAGCGTTCATGGGTACTGCTAATGTCGCTGCACTGTATGGGCTGTGGGACAATAAAGGAACGATGCACCGTGGGCGAGGGCGGCTGGAGTAGCTCATCATGGGCCAATGGTATGGGATTTGTGGTCTGTTGCAGAACGCTCTGAAGAGGGGAGAAAAATAAACAAAAAATGAGTTACTTTGTGGTAAAGGAGGCTTAAATAATTTGGAAAATATAAAAAGTTTCTGAAATATATAAGTTGGGAGAGAGAAAGAGAGAATTTTCATAGAGAGAACATTTTATATAGCAGAACGGAAATTAAGTATTATATAGATAAACTTAGAAAAATAAGTCTTATACTACGTATAGATACGAGGAACTAATGTCAGCCGTAAGGTATTGAAATATTGTTTAAGGAATTGACGAATTGAATTGCCAAAAGTTGGACAGTCAGTGAACGACAGGCGAACAGTGAACATCGATCGACGGCAAGTGACTAAAGCAAAATTAACCGAATATCCATCCTGGAGTACTTTTCCAGGTCTATAAGTCCTGAATCTTTGAATCCCTGTATCATCCTTAGAATCCTTGTAGATCCTGCTGAGATAAACTTAGAAAAATAAGTCTTATGCTAAGTATAGATATAAGGAACTATTGTTGGCCATAAGGTATTGAAATATTGTTTAAGGAATTGATGAAAATATAATTGAATTGAATTGCCTGAGAATTAGGACAGTCAGTGAAAGGCAGGCGAACAGTGAACATCAATCGACGGTAACTGACTAAAGTAAAATTAACCGAATATCCATCCTAGAGTACTTTTCCATGTCTATAAGTCCTGAATCCTTGAATCCCTGTATCATCCTGAGGATCCTTGTAGATCCTGCTTGATATAAACTTAGAAAACTAAGTCTTATGCTAAGTATAGATATATGGAACTAAATGTTCGATTCATTTAAGTAAAGTAGTAAATTAACCTGAAGTAGGTCTCCAAGTTCTGAATACCTCTAGCATTCTCAGAATTCTTGCATACCTCTGTAGATCCTGCTTGAGAAAAATCTATCTAAAGTAGTAAAGTAACCTAGATATCTATCCAAAGTGTATATGCCCAAATCTCTAAGTTCTGAACCCTCGCATCACTATAACATCCTCAGAAATCTTGTAGATCTTGCTGAGATAAACTTAGAAAAATAAGTCTTATGCTAAGTACATATATCAGGAACTTATGTTATCCGTAAGGTATGGAAATATTGTTTAAGGAATTGATGAAAATATAATTGGTTATCCAGTCAGTGATACACAGGCGAAGACCGAACATCGATCTACGGCAAATGATTTAAATAAAATTAACCTGAATACCCTTCCTAGAGTACTTGTCCAAGTCTCTAAGTCCTGAGTTATTTAATCCCCGTACCATTCTCTGAAGACTTGATATCCCTGCAGATCCTTCTTGAGATAAACTTAGAAAGATAAGTCTTATGCTAAGTATGGATATAAGCAACTAATGTTAGCTGCAATGTATTGAAATATTGTTTAAGGAATTGATGAAAATATAATTGCCTATCCAGTCAGTGATAGACAGGCGAACAGTAAACATCGATTGACTTAAGTAAAGTAGTAAATTAACCTGAATATCCTTCATAAGAGTACTTGTCCAGATCTATAAGTTCGGAACCCCTCTAGCATTCTCAGAATCCTTGCATATCCCTATAGATCCTGCTTGAAAAACATCTATCGAAAGTAGTAAATTAACCTAGATATCCTTCCAAAGAGTATATGCCCAAATCTCTAAGTTCTGAACCCTATAACATCCTCAGAAATCTTGTATATCTTGCTGAGATAAACTTAGAAAAATAAGTCTTACGCTAAGTATAGATATAAGAAACTTATGTTCGCCGTAAGGTATTGAAATATTGTTTGAGGAATTGACGGAAATATAATTGGCTATCCAGTCAGTGAAATTAACCTGAATATTCTTCCGAAGAGTACTTGTCCAACTGTCTAAGTTCTGAATCCCTCTAGCATTCTCAGAATCCTTGCATATCCATGTAGATCCAGCTTGAGAAACATATATCTAAAGAAGTAAACTAACCTGGATATCCTTCCAAACAGTATATGCCCAAATCTCTAAGTTCTGAATCCTTGAATCAATATAGCATTCTCGTAGATTTTGCTTGAGATAAAGTTAAAAAATAGGTCTTATGCTAAGTACAAATATAAGGAACTAATGTCAGCCGTAAGGTATTGAAATAATGCTTAAGGAATTGATGAAAATAAAGTTGAATTGAATTGTCTGAGAATCGGGACAGCCAGAGAAAGACAGGCGAACAGTGAACATCGATTGGCGGTAAGTTAAATTAACCTAAATATCCCAAGAGTACTTGTCCAAGTCCTAAATCTCTGTACCATCCTTAGAAACTTTGCATATGCATGTAGATTCCGCTTGCACACATGTTAAGATCTCTCGCAGACGTAGACTCCTTGTAGATCTTGATTGAGTCCTTATTACTCTCACTCTCCTCTTCTCCTCTCTCTCTATTACTCTCGCTATCCTTGTAGATATTGACTGAGTACTTTCTGAGGTCTCTTGCCGCCGTAGCTTCGCATACCCTGGTTTTCCTTGAGGGAGTACTTAATAGGGTATTAATACGAATTGAATCTCTTTGCCTTGCACGCCTCCCAATATGTCTTGCTTGAGTATTTATCAAGGTGTCTCGCATAAAATCCATCTGGTAGTATTGCATGAAAAATCACTAAACCTGAGGATCAACCCCCTGCTTTCATGTCCCGAGTACTTATCCATTTCTCGAGTCAAAGAACCTTTGCTAATTCCGGACCGAAGATTAGTAAGATAAGTTAAACTTGTCCAAGTCTTTAAGCTGTGTATCTCTGTATCATCCTTAGAACCCTTGTAGAACCTGGTTAAGTACTTATTACGATCTCTTGCAACCGTAGTTTTGCCTATCTGTGTATATCTTGAGTAAGTACTTATTAAGGTCTCTTACTACAATTGAAGATATTTCTCGAGTACCTATTAAGGTCTCTTGCAACTGTAGCTTCGCTTATAATTGTATATCTTGAGTGAGTACTTGTTAAGGTAGTAATACGAATTGGATCTCATATAGACGAAGCCTTGCACTTCGCCAATGTGTTCTGCTTTAGTACTGATCAAGGTCTCTCGTATAAAATCCATCTGGTAGTCTTGCATGAAAAATCACGAAACCTGAGAACCAACTCCCTGCTTTTCTGTCCCGTATCTCGATTACTTATTCAAGTCTCGAATTTAAGAACCAGTGCTAATTTCGGACCGAAAACTAGTAGGATAAGTTGAATTTGTTCAGGTCTCTAGGTCCTGAATCATTGAGAACCATTTCTTGTAGATCCTGCCTGAGTACTTCTTAAAGTCTCTCGCAGACGTAACCTCATATACCCTAGTAGATCTGGCTTGAGTACTTTTGAAAATCTCCTGCTGCAATTGAAAAACTCAATTGAGTACTTATTAAGGTCTCTTGCAACCGTAGTTTCGCTTGACCATGTAATCTTGTAATATGAATTGGATCTCTTGTAGTTGTAGCCTTACACTCCCCCATATATCCTGCTTGGGTATTTACCAAAGTCCCTCGCATAAAATCCATCCCGTAGTCTAGCACAAAAAACACGAATCCTGAGGACTTATCCAGGTGTCGAGTCGAACGAAAATTTCTAATACCAGACCGGAAACTTGTAGGATAAGTTGAATTTGTTCAGGTCTCTATGTCCTGAATCCATGCAGACCTTGGTTGAGGACTTATTAAAATCTCTCGCAACCGAAGTTTCGCTTATTCTTGCGTATCTTAGGGAGCAACTTATTAAGGTAGAAATACGAATTGGACCTTCTGTAGATGTAGGCTTGTACTCTCACCATAGGTCCTATTTGAGTACTTATCAAGGTCTCACGCTGATGACCGATCCCTTGCTTCCCTGTCCCGTGACTCGAGTTCTTATCCAGGTTTCGAGTCGAAGGACCATTGCTTATTTCGGATTGGAGACTTGTAGAATAAATTAAACTTGTCCAGGTCTCGAAGCCCTGAATTCCTGTTGTCTTCTTAGAATCCTTGCATACCTTGATAACATATTTAAGAGTACTTGTCCAGGCGTCTAAGTTCTAAATCGTGGAATCCCTGTAGCATTCTTAGAATTCTTGCATATTCTTCAAGATCTTCCTTAAGAAAAACTTAGTAAAATAAGTCATACGCTAAGTATAGATATACGGAACTTATATTAGCCGTAAGGTATTGACCTATTGTTCAAGGAATTCATAAAAATATAATTGGTGATCAGTGATTGACATCGACCTGCGATAAGTGAAATTAACTTGAATATCTTTCCGAAGAGTACTTGTCCAAATCCTAAATCCCTGTGCCATCCTTAGAATCCTGGCATATGTCTGTAGATCCCACTTGAATACTGATTAAGGTCGCTCGAAGACGTATCCTCGTATATCCTTGTAAATCTGGCTTGGGTATTTCTTAAGGTCTCATGTTTATACTTCAAGGTGTCTTGTGTATCTTAGGTGGGTACTTATTAAGGTACTAATACGAATTGGATCTCTTGTAGACGTAGCCCTGCTTGAGTACTTATTCAGATCTCTCGCATAAAATCCATCTCGTAGTCTTGCATGAAAAATCATGAATTCTGAGAACCAACTCCCTGCTTTCCTATCCCGTGTCCCGAGTACTTATCCAGGTGTCGAGTCGAAGGACAATTGCTAATGCCAGACCGAAGACTAATAGGGTAAGTTAAACTTGTTCAGGCCTCTAAGTCCTGAATCCTTGAATGCCTCTATCATTCTTAGGATCCATGTAGATCCTTAATAAGGTCTCTCGCAGACGTAACGTCAAATATCCTTTTAGATCTGGCTGGAGTACTTATTAAAGTCTCTTGTTACCGTAGTTTCACTTATCCTTGTATATTTTGCGTAAGCACTTGTTAAGGTATGAATGCGAATTTTACCTCTTGTAGACGTAGCCTTGCACTGACCTATTTGCCCTGCTTGAGAAATTTCTCTCTCGGATAAAATCTATCCGGTACTCTTGCATAAATATTCTGAAGAAGACCACATGCTACCTTGTCCCAGTATCACACTTGAGTACTTATCCAGGTCTCGCTTCCGACCGAAGATTAGCAAGGTGAAGATTAGCAAGAAATAAAACCTACTATCAAACGAAAACAATTAACTTTCTCGTTCCGTCTCAAGCGATCGAGCTTTAGCCTAACGGGAAAAACCTGTCGTTACAAGAGAAGATGAGAGATTTTTTTATAGAGGCCAAAATCAACAGTTCTACACCGAAAATAAAAGTTATTGGTTGTAAGAGAGGGGGAGAGAGAGCGAGAGGGAGTATGCTTTGTGGGAGAAGACAATGAATATTGTTGAGGAAATCAGGAGAATGGTTTTTAGAAGACCAAAACGATAGTATTTGAGGGATTTTTTGTCAGGACCAAAAGTTACCGTTATACTAATTTCCTCTTGGACCAAAAGGTAGATTTTATATACATTATAAGTTAATTTCCATATTATAAAACAATTGTCTTTCTTTTTATCTCAAAATAAACAAATTTTCTGCGAACCATTGGACGCCTGTTCGGCTCGAGTAACAGGAAAACCTGTTGTTGCAAGAGAAGATGAGAGATTTTTTCATAAAGGAACAGATGTAACGGAATACCGAAAACTTAAAGGTATCGGCTGGAAGGGAGAGATAGAGAGAGACCGTATGCTTTGTGAGAGAAAAAATTGAGGTTTTCGAGGAAATCAGGAGAATGATTTTTAAGAGGCCAAAAACGACAACTTTTTTAGGAATTATTTTGCCAGAAACTGGATTTGCTCCTAGATTTTCGATATAAATATTTTTTTTGGAGGACTATTCTCTCGCGGATTAAAAAAAAATATTTGTCTATTTCGATGGTATTTTCTTAACATTTTTAGCGATTAGACGTTTGGAAGAAGAATTTTTTATTAACTTTCAATTCGCGGGCTAAAAAAATATGTATTATCTTAAAAATTATTCATCCATTAGAAAATCTTGCGCAACCGAAAAAAGGGTCGATTTTACAAATCTGACCAAAAAAATATCCGTATTTCAAGATCAAAAAATGCACCACATTTTCTCCTCTTCATTCCCTTCTGGATATGATCTATTGACGTTCACAACAAAAAATACATATTTACTTAAATGATCTGCATAGTTCTCATTTTTTTTTTGTTTATTCAGAATTGCAATTTATTATCGTGCGTGTGTGTGTGTTTTTCTTTTTCTGGAATATTTTCAATTTACATCCAAACGGCGTTTGGTTGCATTACCATCCAATAGGGGTTTACCTTAATTTCTCCACTAAATTGTTTAGAATCTATTTGTTCCTGTTAGGATGGCATTTAAAAAAGATAGAAAAGAGAAAGAGAGGGGGAAAATTGTAGGAGGAGAGAAGAAAAGAGGAAAAAAGTTGTAGATTATAGTTACACAAAGATTAGATAATTTTCACCATTCCCGCCCAAGTATTGATATAGAAAATTAATTAGCGTATTTATTAGCGATGTGATGGCGATGAAGAAACCAACAAAACAATATTTAAAACAATGAAATAAATAACATTGTTATTTGAATAATGACAAAAAAAAAAAAATAATAATAATGGAAGTAGACGGTAGCTCACGTGCACAATATTGGCCAGAGAGGGCAAGGGTGCATCGGATGGGAGGAATGGGTATATATTTTTAATATATTAGGAGTAAAAAAATATATATGTGTACGCGTATATTTTGGATTTTTTAAATATTGTGTAAAGATTTCAAAAATTTAAAAAAATAATAATTTTTCATTGCTTGACAATCAGAGTAGATTTCAAATTTTTTTCAGAATTTAAAAAAAACTGTCATTGCTTGACAATTAGAATAGATTTGTTAAAATGATTTTTGGATTTTCCAATAATATTTTTTAAAGGGCTATTTATCACCCCTGATTTTATTTATAAATTTTTTTAAGACTGTCCAGTGCCGAGAACTTTTTTTTTATATTTTTATTTTTATACCCTACACCACAAGGTGGTCAGGGTATTATGTCTTTGTGCATTTGTTTGTAACAGACAGAAGGAAACGAGATAGACCCATAGTTCCTTTTGATGATCTGCATAGAATCACATTCTGAGTCGATTTATGCATGTCCGTCCGTCCGTCCGTCCAGATGAAATTTTGCAAAGATCTTTTGTTTGACCCAAGGACGAACCCTATTCAAATTGGAGATAATCGGTCAAAATTTAGATATAGCTCCCATATATTTCTTCGTCCGATTTGCCTTTTATTGTGCACCAAACGTGTAATATCAACCAGAATTGTATGGAATTTAGCATATACACCCAAATTAGGCCTGAAAATAAGTATGCCAAATTTGATCGGTTCAGATATAGCTATAGCTCCCATATATATTGTTCACCCGATTTGTTTTTTTTTTGTCCACCGCCGCCGTAATATGCCCTATGCAACAACAATATTTGGGGAAATATATCAAATACAGCTCAGAAATACATTTGCTAAATTTTATCGAGATCGGTTCAGATTTGGATATAGCTCCCATATATAACCGATCCGATCTACCTTTTATTGTGCACCAAACGTCTAATACTTGTCCAAATGGGATGGAATTTGGCACTTACGACCAAATTGAGTCCAGAAGCTAGCACGTCAAATTTGGTGAAGATCGGTTCAGATATAGCTATAGCTCCCATATATATTATTCATCCGATTTGTTATATTTGTTACCCACAACCGTAATATGCACTCCGTAACAAAGATATTCAGGGAAATATATCAAATACAGCTCAGAAATATCTTTGCCAAATTTTATCGAGATCGGTTCAGATTTGGATATAGCTCCCATATATATCTTTATCCGATTTCACCAAATGGGCAATACAATTCCGAATTTAAAAGATACAAATGTTTCGGCATATTTAGTCCTTTGAACTTTAAATTATAATTATAATCATAGCGTGGATGATTGAATTCTCCCATAAAAACTTTTAATTGTTATGCGTAGCTCTACTAAATTAGCAAAGTGGTGTAGGGTATCATAAAGTCGGCCCCGCCCGACTTTAAGACTTTTTTTACTGGTTTTTACTGGATTTTCCAATAGCATTTTTAAAGGACAACAATTCATCCCTGATTTTATTTTTTTAAAATTTTCAAGATTGTCCAGCTTTGAGAATTTTTTAAATATGTTTGTTTTTTACTATCAATCCAATGAGGATTTTTTTTAAATGTCCCTAAGGACTACCAATTGTTGTTATATAAAAAATATATACTTAACTAGAGTTCATTTTTCAAATATCAAAATATTTTTCATTTTATTAAAATATTAATTTAAGAGAATCAGGACTACAAATTAGGTCGATTTTGTGAAAAAAAAAACTTTTAAAGGACTATCAACATATTTTTTCTTCAATGATAGATATACAACAACAACAACAAGGATTTTTCAAAAATATATTCATATTTTTAAATTTTGATATATTTAAATATTTTTCAAAGATTATTTACCTAGGAATTGTATTCAACTATTTAAAAAAAATACATTTTTGGATATACAAATGGATTTAAATAATATATTTTTGAAAAATACAAATTTTTTAAAAATATTTTTTTATATTTCTTTTCAATGAAGGCGCAAAAAAATATTTTTTTTCAATAACGGTGGATTTTTTAAAATTATGTTTTCAGAAATTTCTAATAAATGTAAGTCTATTAGCCCTAAACGTGTTTTTTTTTATAAAATATTTTGTGATTTTTTTTTAAATATTTTCCAATAAATATGAATATTAAAACAATAAACGTGGATTAAATATTTTTTAAATACGATTCTATTTTTTTTTTTTTTTGAAATATTTTCCTCACAAAGAAGCGATTAATATATATATATATATATATATATATATATATATATATATATATATATATATATATATATATATATATATATATATATATATATATATATATATATATATATATATATTCAATAAAACTAATTTAAATGAATATTTTACCTAAAATCATCAAAATAACGAATATTGGGAGGTATCGTTATATGGGGGCTTTACGAAGATCTGGACAATTTTCTGTCATCTATTGCAAACTTCAAGTGCCAAATTTGAAGTATTTCCGGTGAATAATGTAGCTAAAATCATCAAAATTCCGAATATAGGGAGGTGCCGTTATATGGGGGGCTCTACGAAGGCGTGGACCTGCTCAGACGATTTTCTGTCATAGATTGTAATATCTACTATGAACTTTATATATCAAATTTGAAACGATTTCGGTAAATAATGTCGAAAAAATCATCAAAATACCGAATATTGGGAGGTACCGTTATATGGGGGCTCTACGAAGGCGTGGACCTGCACAGACAATTTTCTGTCATAGGCTGTAGTATCCATTACGAACTTCAAATACCACTTTCGAAATAATTCCGGTAAATAATGTCGCTAAAATAATCAAAATACCAAATACAGGGAGATACCGTTATATGGGGGCTATACCAAAACGTGGACCTACATGGCATATTTTCAATACCAATAGTCCTGCAGACATAATACACATTTGAGAAAATGTTTATCAACTTACTTCATATCGTTCGGAAGCTAGAGTGATTTCCACATACGGGCGGACATCGCTAAATCGATGTAGAATTTTATGCTGATCAAGAATCTATACTTTATGGGGTCTAAAATGTATATTTCGAGGTGTTACAAACGGAATGACAAACTTAATATATGGTGAAGGGTATAAAAATATATATTATATATTTTTCAATAAAATTTTTTTTTTTTTTTTTATAAAAAATAAAAAAAAAAATATTTTTTTTTAAATAATGGTATTCACAAATTTCTAATAAATTTTAATTTTGCAAAAATAAATTCAAGTAATTCCAATAAACGTAAATCGTGTATTTTAAAAATAAAAAATAATATCTTCAACAATTTTCAAATTGTGAAATATTTTTTTAACAATTATAGAGTCGTGAAATTTTTCCGAAAAAAAAATTTAATAAAAATATATTTTCCCACTGAATTTTATAAACTTTTTAAAAAAATTCAACAATTACAAATCCTAAATTTATCGAAAAGTTTTTTCCCCAAAATGGGTTTTCAAATAAAAGTGGTGACTAAATTGCTATTTTTTATTGTAAAAAAAAAAACATAAAACCTTAGTGGTTTACCTAAAAACTCAAAATTCCTGGTCATTTGAGCCATTCTAAAATTATAAAAAAAAACAAAATTTCTAAGAAACGCTTAAAATTATATAGGAACTCCATAAATGATTTTCCAAAAGTCCATGTATAGGGTCCTTTAACAGCGTGGATTTAAAAAAATATATATTTTTCAAAGTCCTTTAATAACGTGGATTTTTAAAACATTATTTTTCAAAGTCCTTTAACAAAGTAACTTTTTTAAAGAAATATTTTTCAAGGTCCTTTAACGAAGTTGACTTAAAAAAATTATATTTTATATATATATATATATATATATATATATATATATATATATATATATATATATATATATATATATATATATATATATATATATATATATATATTATATTTATATTTATATTTATATATTTATGTTTTCAATGACCTTTAGCAAACGGGGATTTTTAAAAAATACTTTTTCAAATTCCTTTTACAACGTTAATTTTAAAAAAATTATTTTTCAAGGTCCATGTTACCAAAAAAAAAAAAAAAATAAATAAATAAATAAATAAAAATAAGAATAAAACTAAAATAAATAAATAAATAATCAAAGGTCACCAGACTGTAACAGGGTTTTAATCAATCCATGGTTATTTCCTTCTTTAGGGTAATCTCAAAATTCTCAGATATTAAACCTTTAGGTATGGTAAAAAATGGTTAAAATTCCATAATAGTTTGTAGGGGAGTATTACCCTTAAAATCCAAAAAAACAAAAAATAGTTCTTACATGTTTTTAAAAATATTGTAATAGGCTAAATTTCTGTATTCAGTAGCATCTCTAAATTCTCCACAATTTTTCGGTTTATTTATTTTTTATTATTTTTTTGCAATTATCTTTTCAGTTCAAAAATCGATCAAATCTACTCTCCAGATTCATGCCAACAATTGTTATGATAAACGAAAAAAACCAAAACAGCTACACAAAATACAACAACAACATCAAAAACAACAAATTATCCATATTTACGATTGGGTCAAATCCCCGCAATTATTTATGCAAGACAAATCTGTAGAAAAAGTAGCCTCTCAAAAAAATACAATTGTCTTGAAACAGAACAACAACAACAAAGTATTGTCCAAAACCCCAAAGTGTTGAGAAAAATTATCAATTACG